ACATGAGTCTGAAGAGGGCTGAAGACTACAAGTTTGAAATTGATGAATATCTTGGGGTGTGGCATTAGAAAGACGTTACCAGACCTCTGATGCCCGCTCCTCATCTCCGCCCAAGCTAGCGGGTTACGGCTACATTAGCCGCCATACTGGCACAACACACCCGAATCTCTGTCCGAACTGCAGGTGGTCGAGTTGCATTGTGGGTCATGAAGGTCCCATGATTCGACAGGGAAGCAGAATGTGTGGAATAAAAAAAGATGATATCTCCGTCTGATTGATTTTCTTTTAAACACCACGAGTTGCTATATCAGTGGAACACTCTTAAAAAATTAAAACCCTGATTAATTACCCTCAGGGTGCTCTCGCATTCAACTTGTACTCTTAACGCAGTAAAGCATTAATATTAAAAGCATGACAGTGCTAAGACATCTTCAGGTACCACCATCTAATACAGTTGTATAGTAAATTGCTCCAACCAATTAAAAGAACAAGCATAATGCATAGCCAATCACATTCTGTTGTCCGAGTCACTGAAGATTGTTTGCACCTGGTGCATTTTAAATACTTGTGACTGTAAGAATGAAAACAGATCATGAGAAAACTCCTCAGCGGTGCCAAAGCTTGTACTGAGTCTTTACGCCTCTCGTGCCAAGCAAGAACTGTTCTCACGTACGTGTTGTGTTCTTTGTGTCAAATGAAGGCGTTTCACTTCATGTGATCAAACGATCGAACTTAATTTATTAATACATGTTATTTTATGTGAAAAAGCCAACACTGTGCCGTCACTGTCACAGTAGCCCTCGTTCTCCGATTTCTCCACATAGATAGGCTACAGAAGGCAACATGACAATTACATTAAAATGTTTTTTTATATTTTTTTTTCTCTCTGCTCAGGGACATCAGGTTGTGATTCCTGTCACACAATGGGTTTGTGACACAGAGAGAGCTTCTTAAGATGATGTTAGATGTTTTTGATGATTGTGATGTTTGGTTAAATTATAGAAAAATGTGTAGCTGAAAATTGTGTTGTGTTTTGTAAAGAAAAGTGAACCTTTTTCCATAATAAAAAAATATGATTTTTGCTCTCAGCAGTGTGATGTCCTCCGAGAAGTCTGTACCTCTCAACAATGTAAATTCCAACAAACATATATGTATGTGAGTACAGAGGACGCACATGTGGCTTTCATTTCTGTCACTGCATGCAATCGTACACCTCCACCTGCTTCTTACAGTGGTTAAATCAAAGTGCAGCAATAGGAACCCCCCTAATTAGAATTGTCAAACCAAATTTGACCAAATTATGTATATTTCTTAAGTTTGCCAAAAATAAATGTGTAAATATGTAAAATTTAGAATGACACATTTACAAATGTCTTTCTTTTGTATATGTATTTTCATTTAGGTACTAAGTCCATTTACCCAAGTACTGTACATAAGTATAATGGACTTATTGCACAGCAGATACTCACAGGTGTATTGATGATAGCTGCATACCGCTAAGTGGAAGTCCTGCTGTTGTACTGTTGGTTCGTTTAACAGAACTGAGCCATCGTTACTGTTATTAAGTCCACCTGTGTTTGTCCAGCTTAGTCAACATGTCTGCTGTGCAACTAGTCCATTTTGAGGTACTTATACCAAGTATTTCCATTTTCTACTACTTTATACTTCTACTTTACTACATCTCAGTTTACATCAAGTAATCTACACAGTATTGCATCAGTAATTAATAATTATAATATAATTTCATATTTCATATTTATTATTTTGAAATTGATTTATGATTTGATCAACAACGTTTTGGTGCTAATGCTTTTGCTTTTCTTAATTTTAAATGTAGTTAAAAGATCTGAGTACTTCTTCCACCACTGATTAGACCCGAGAGAGGTTCTAACTCTCTGTTAGGGATCAATCAAATAACCAAACATAGAGCATTATAGAAAATCCATTGTACTGTAACAACATTTTCTGGCATGACCTTCTGAAACACTTAAAAATCATGTTTATAAGCAATTCTCATGAAGTATGTTTATTAGGGCTGTTGAAGAGGAACCCAAACAGAACATCAGAACTGAGATTCCCCAAATATATTTTTGAGTGTTTGAAATATTAAATAATTTAGCAAGGAAGTAATTTCTCTCCAGTGCTGTTGGTCCTAGCCTTGGTTTCACTGGAGACGGAGAAGAAAAGTGCCACGCTCAGCCTCTCTAAATGACACAACACACACAGACAGCTCTCTGAGAGGAACCACTAATTAGACTTGGTCTTTTCATAAACTCAACATGTTGATATCATCTGATCAAGCAGACATCAAAGAGGTTCTAATCACACGCCAGACTCTGAGCACACCAAGCTGTAAATATTTAAGAAGATATCAAACTTGACTCACTCATTGACTTGGAAGAACTCAAAGCCCCAGTTTCAAGCATTTTAAACACTAGATTGCACTAGAAGTTAGCATAAATCTACGAGGGCAGATTTTGTTATGTAACAGTAATAACACTGAATCAATAATGTGTTTGTTATGCATAGAAATAACCTTATTCTGAAACACCATCTGCTGGACTCATCACTGAATCTGCCCATCTTATCCACAGAACCAACTAAATAATCTCAAATAGTTTACACAATATTGAGCCAACATAAATGAATGAGTAATAATAGAGGAAAGTAAGTGTGATTTTTTCCCCCCTCATTCTTACAAATTGGGGTGTGAATATTTTGGTAAATAAATAATAAAATATTTAATGAAATGGTAATATTATAGGTGTATTTATCTTGTGTACAGTCAAATATTTGGTCTTATGTATGAATGTGATGAAATATTGCATCATCTTATGGTGCTGAATGGATTTCACTGGACAGTAATGTGATTTTTATGTTTCCTGAAACACAAAAACATTGAACCTTGAACACACTCAATCCACCGTAATAAAGCTCATTAGAATTGTCTATTTATGTAATATCCTGTGACCACTGTGAGAGAGGAAACAGAGCTCTTATTTTTGTAAACCTGACCCCATCATACCTCTGTGTATCCCAGGTCACGCTAGATTGACACCCAGTGAGCAAATACTTTCATAACCTCTAATCAAAGGGGCAAAACATCAGTGAAGTAACATTTTTTCTCCTTTCCTTCAGCAAGGACAGTCTGTACTTGTTTCTTTACTTTACTTCCAGTTAACTGGTAGCTGCCTTTGTCATTAAGAAGATGAAAGTTATTCTCACATGATGGCTACATGTGCGTGCGGGTGTTCCATATCCGGCAGACATGACTTCTGACAGCTGGAGCAACACCTGGGCCAACATGTTAAAGTAAACCACTAAAACTACACAATAGGGAAGGAAGTGAGGCTGGCCCATGACAAGATGAAAGATTTCCTGCCACCGTTCAATACTACACCTGCAAGGTAAGCATGTTGGAGTAGTGGAAGCACTCGGCTAATGCCTTATGTTTTGGAGTTGCAGTAAGTTGTGGGGCAAGTAGCTGGGCATATAAACATAAATGTACCTGAGGAAAAAATACAGATACTCTGTTACAGCATGGAGAAAGATCAATATTAGTAATGTGGTCCACAGCTATAGCCTTCAGTGTTGCCTCAGTTTTTAAATGGTGATAAATTAACTTAAATGTAAACTTTTTAAAATCATAATTATGAGGCACCTGTTTCATTTATACTTACAGTTATGTACTTTAGAAGAACAGTGCTTCTTTGAGTGGTGGAAGAAGTACTCAGATCCTTCAGTAAGTAAAAGTACCAATACAACAATGTAAAAAATACACAGCAAACTATACTTTATGTAAGATAAGATAAAATAAAAGTACCCATTATACATAAAAATACCCCCTGACTGATATATTATTTAAATAAGTTAGGTAATGCTGATGCAATAATGTGTAGTATTTAGTATTTAGCAGCATTTTACTCTTGTAGCTGGCTGAGTTGCTCGTTTTAACTTCTTTATGTATAGTTCAGGGTTGTGCAATCACTAATGGCATAGGAAAGAAGAAAATATAAAGCTATTTTCATTACATATTCTGACCTCTTAGAGCACAAATTTGAAGTTTAGAGGGAAAACATCTCTTTGCTGGAACTGCCAACACCTCATAGACATCTACTTTTTTGTAAGGGGTCACAAGCCAGACACCACTAGTTTTATCTTTAACAATGTAAAATCTTAATCTGTAAAGTAACTAGTAAGTCCCTCTGTCCTGTAAATGTAGTAAAAAAAAAAAAAATTCTCCCTAAAATGGCTTACAGTATAAGTACACAGTAGCATGAAATTTAAATACTCAAATAAAGCACAAGTAGCTGAAAATCTGAGTGATGTAGAGCACTTCAGTAAATGTACTCAGGCAATTTCCACCCCTGAACACAACCACTGACTGGGACCCTCGGGTAACTAATCACGAGGATTCTGGGAGATGGGCTGCTGGCTTTTTGAAAATATAATGATGAGCTGCTGACTCACTCTGAAGGAGTTTAGTGCAGAAATAATGGCAGAAATGTGCCAATAGAAACCACTGAACATAATGTGGACCAGCTAGTGCTGACATGTGCCAAGAGTTCAACCTCTTGCTAAATGTGTCAATGGCGACCTCTGCTGACACTTTTCTTTAAACACAGTTGGCTCCATGTTCTTCTTTTAGTGTGAGTTAAGTTTTGCTTTCCTCGTAACAACGCCTTGCCACCCCAGTTTGTTGCCAAAGGCTGTAAAATGTAACACATAATTTAGACTAACCTTTAAAATAATTTGATTTATTAATTTCGAATGCCACCTTTAGATATTTCTATTCAATTCTTTACCGATGTGCCACAATAATGTCATGTTTTGAGTTCAAAACATATAGGTTTTTTAAGCTATAAGAATTATTGAGGCTTTTCTTTCAATTTGCAATCAGTATGATTCCAAGTTCAAATTCTCTCCTGTAACTGTCATTTTAAGCCTTTTATACAGATGATGAAAAGCTGGAAAAGGAATAAACACACACACACACACACTTTGGTTTAGTCCTACCAGTAAATTTATTAATGAAACTTATCAAAGAGAATCTGTATATTTGGTCATAAATATTGTAAACAGGTCCACGTGTAGATTGCATTTTAGAAACAGCACTTCCAATAGTAAAATACTATTAAGTTTTTTTTTACTATTATACTATTACTATTAATTAATAAATACTACTAAGACTATTAAAAGATCACTTCATTTTTAAAATAGCTAAATGTATGTAAACATAGCTTTTTATTCATAACCTAGCTCCTTTTTTAAAAACGTAGTGAAAAACAAAAACCCATCACCAAAGCCAATAAAAGTTAGGATGGAAATAGTGTTCTCCCAGTTTGAGGTAGACATGTTGATGCTTGCACATGCTTAGCATCTTCTCTTGACGTCATTTGTACTGAACCAAGTACTCGGGATAGATTTGATTTGGATCAAAAATAACAAAAATAGTGGGACATCTGACATCATCCACACAGCTGTCGTGAGTGTTTTCAGAACTTTGATGATCAGGTTTCTTGAACTCCTTTTTTCCAACTTTGGATTTTCCAATCATCACTCGTGCCAAAAATACTACTTTAGTGTATTCACCGTGACCACCCCGCGTTTGCCCGCCATACAGCTTCAACGGATCCACGCTGCCCTTGCTGTATTTGTCCGCATATGAGGCATGTTTTGCAAAATATATTCCTAATAAAAAAAAAATCTCAGATCAACTGGGGAAACTGGTGAACAGTCACACGTAGATTACAATTATTTACATTGTACAAAGTGACACAGAGAGTTATTAATGTATCATTTAACTTACCTTTACCATATATGTGGCCGTGTTGTCCCGCTAACCGTAAATCAAAGTTATACTTGCAAATGTTTTCAACATTTTGGATCTCGGTCCCATGAAAGAGTCTCCTCTCCTGAATGTCTCTGACGCCTTGAATTCTCATCAGCTGTTTCTTTTTCCTTTGACATGAACAGAGAGAAGGACCAGTCTGATTACAAAGTAGGGCAATGATAAATGGAATGGAGAAAACTCAAAGACTTTCCTACCTGCAATACAGTTCCCATAGGTCCATATTCTGTATCCTGCTGATTGAGATGATGGATTTGTCCAACAGCCCATCATTCTTCACATAATCTGCCACAGTCTGATACTCAGGGGTGAGCTCGTTCAGAGGGATTAACTGTAAAATATATTAGGAACACACATTTTGTACATATTCAGTTGAAGACAATATTAAAGCATATATGCAGCACAGTTTGAATCCCAATAGCTGTCAGATTAAAAAAAAAAAAAAAAAAAAAATACTGAAAATAAAGACATTTCTAAAAAATAAAATAAAGTAAAATGTTGTGATATTTCGTGACCTTAGAGTTAATTGATTTTTACAAGTCAATATTCTTTACTTGTTCTACCTGAGTTTGATTTAGGAATGAAGGATGCCTGTTATAATGAAACCACAATATCTCACTCACATTGCAAATAAAACTTTTTGTTAACAATTTTGCTTTTCCCAGTACATTTCTGTCATTGTTACCTGATACGGACAGGTGGGATCCACATGTTCCCAGAACACAGGGGGAGCACCGAAGCAGGAGCAACTGTGGGAGGAAAGAGTTAATTCATTTGCATTGTGCTGACTTTCACTTTCATTTAATCAGAAACAAAACTGAAGACTGACTTATCCACGTCTCACTGTTATGAGCGTGCATTATTTGTTATATTGCTGTTTTAAGCCTTATTTCACCTTCTCTCAACGTTGTAGCCCCGTTTGATTCTTCTCTGCCTTCCCGTGTTGAGGTCAGTCTGTAACATTGCTGTATAGGAACACACAAGTCACGTCAACCAAGTTCTTTACAGATAAATGAGGACATAATGTGAACAAGAAAACGTAACTGGATAACCTGAGAAATCAATCTTCCTCTGACAACCTGGAGATGACACGTTTAAAACCCCTTTTGAGTTTCTTTGGTAGTACTGTTCGATATCCTCACTCCTACAGGGGTGATCAGGGTCATCCTGTAGAGTGGACAGAAAGCAACTGCAGGTCAGCTACACCAGGCATTCTGCTCTTTATACGCTTTTTGTAAGGCAATAGACTGAATTATAAAAATGTTAAAAAAAAAAAAAAAAGCATACCTCAAACCTGTGCCACCTTCCACAGTCTGCCAGGTAATACCAAGACCACGGGATGTCTGATGTGTCCATGTCTTCTTCCTCGAGCCACATTGTCCTCACAGAATGAAATGAAATGGATTATATCAGAAAAGAAGCTAAATAAATAAGTTTTAAAGCTAGCCTTCTTCTCTCACGTTTGCTGAGGTAGCTATTAAAGTTGACACTGCTATTCCTAGTTCATTTGAATGAAATGTCATCAACAGCCACACCTCTAAAGGGAGGCCGGCTTTACTCACCAAACATTAATGGGAGAGCATGTCACAATGCCACCAGCACTCATTTCTCATTAGCCTTCTAAAAGAGATAATTAAACACAATTACTTTTAAAAGTTTATTTGCTTTAACATTTGCAAATCACAGACACACACATAGAGCTTCATACACACCACTGCTGCATCCATTTTACTTTTGCACCACCTTGTGGCAAACTTAGTACTCTGCTTTATTATTATCCTTGCTCAAACACACACACACACACACACACACACACACACACACACACACACACACACACACACACACACACACACACACACACACACACACACACACACAGTCATACAATAAAGTCAACAAACACACACACAGCAAAGCAATATTACATTGTGTGGTTACTTTCCATTACAGTACTATACATGTGCTGGCTACATTCTTTTTTGTTGATAAATTTACACAGGTGCAAAGATAACCTGTGTAATCCTCTAAAGAAAGACGTTAGCAGGTGGTGACGTCGCACTCGGATGGTTTTTTTAAGTCAAATGTGATGCTGATACGGATCTTATTCTGGTTTCGGGTTGAACCACGAAATCCAACCTCAGTCATTGTTAAGTCTTTTAAAGACTGAAGTCAATGGTCAGAAAAGATGCACAAGAAGGGAACATATTGCTCAGGGACCACAAGTGAACATGACATCACAACTTTATGTCATTGTGACACAAATACAAAACCTTTCATGGAAAGGGGGGAAAGTGCACTGATGCATGGTTCAAAAAAAATGTAGAGGTAGAAGCGTTTTTTGAATAAAAACAAAAACAAAACCCATGCCTACGTAATACATTGTACTAGGTACACACAGATGTGGATGTTCACTGACTGATGGATCACGGTGCTATATGAGTGAGCAGGAACATGTTGTGGTTTTTGGCTTCGTTATTTGGATTCATGACAACATGACTTGTAAATAAGCTCATGCGTGGCACTGTGGATGTGAAGGAAGGGCTGTTGCCGATGGCGGGACATCACCTATATAACCTACAGGCTGCAAGTGCCACTCTTATTTTTAACAACTGTGCACAGATATTGAACAAGCAAGCACAGAATCTGCAATTAATACAAAATTACCACAAAGACTGGTCTTTAGTCATTATTTTCATCCTTTTTTTTTTTTTACGTCAGAGAGACAGCCCGTCTTAGAATATACTGTACAGTATACAAAGTGTACACAAAGCCTTTACTGTCTTCTTTGTTTTCCAATTTCCCCAAAGGCACTTTAGATGACTCAGATTCAGTTAGGCACTGGATCTGACTGAAAGAAAAAGCAAAAGTCCCTTAAGCATTTTCCATTTTGTCCGTCATCTGATTCTGTATCCAAAATGTTTCAGTTTTTGAGATCCAGCCTCTATTAAAAAAAAGTACATATCTCCGTTTCAGGCTTCAGTAGAACTCAATCAGATACTCTGGGTAAATCTGATTACTGTCAAAAATGACATAAATCTTTGGATTGGCCATATCGTCCACACAGCTGTCATAAAAGTTGGTGAAGCTGGCATCCTTGGAGGGCGGTCTGCAGTACATGGGATGACCGACAGTGTATTCTCCAACGAGCACTCTGGCCAGGAACATGGTCTTGTAGGGAGGCTCGCTAGCAAATATTGGTGGGGCGAGTCCGTGTCTCTGCAGGGTGGTGTTGTGCTTCCCTGTGGTGTGACAGAATTTACTGGAGTATTTGGCATCCCGGGCAAAGTAGCTCCCTGCAGGAAGGAAAATTGAATGAAATGTTAAAAGTCTGGCCCAAATAAAATGTGCAGTGAATTCTTTCATGATGCTGCATCACAACACTGAAAGATCTACCTTTGCCATAGACATCGCCATGGCTTCCTGTCAGCCGCCAGTCAAAGTTAAATGTACATATAGCTTGTATGTTGCTGTGTCCTGTGCCGTGAAACAGCATTCGTTCCTCAATATCCAATGTGCGCTTGACTTTTCGCAACTGTGTTTTCTTCCTTAGGAGGGAACCAAGGAATGACAACACAACACAGAGTAGTGATCACTTTGTTAAAAAGTGTACTTTCCTACAGGCATGTGCTCAAACCTACAGCATGACTGACTTTAATGGAAAAAGACTAACTGAATGTGTGTACCTTCAGATGTTGCAGCAAAATCAGTGTTTCAGTAAAGGTAAGAGAATTGAGAATCTCAACTGGGTTTCATTTACTTTAACAGCTCTGTCTGCAGTAGGAGCTGGGGAAAGTACCATTGTATTTCTCATTGTAAATTAACGCATGCCCTAAAGAATTATTATAAAATTAGCCAAATCAAGAGCAGAATCCTCTGCTAACACAAAAAACAGAACTTGCAGTCAACCCACAACAAGACAACAATTATCTACCTGCAGAAGAATTCCCATAAGTCCAGGTTCTGAATCCTCTGGATGGATTTGATTGGATGATCCATAGTCCTTTCATACAGTCTGGCGACTTCTTTAAACTCATAGGTGTCTCTTCCGAGCTGGATGAGCTGCAGAAACACAATCACACATGGGTAAAACAGGACATGCAATGGTGTGTTACAGTGCCAAAGCTTGGTTGGAAAGCAAAACTAAATCATGGTAGACCACTAAACCACTGCAGAGTGTAAAAGAGTGTAAAACATTTTCAGCTTCTTCTCAATATCAACTTTAAAAAGAATCTGAATCTACTGGGTAGCTAAATGCTTAAGCTGTGGGTTCCTTTACTCACCTGATAGGGCTCATCTGTGTTGATTCTCTCCCAATGACACGGAACAGGCAAGGCAAGATTATCACAAATAAACCTGACAGAAAGAGCAGAAGAAAGAGAGCAGTGTAAGAAAGTCTCATTAAAAAAAAATTCCTCATCTAAGATATTTGTGCCTGATGCAGAGTTCTCTTGCTCTTTGTGTTTATGGAGATAACAAAGCTCAGGGTCAGCAGCAGGACAGCTCCCTGTGGGGCTAGCAGGAATTTGGGGTTATTGTCAAGGATTCCTGATGCTGGCAGAGGCTTGAACCCTGACCTTTCACTGAAATCATGGTGTCCTCACTCACAACTTCATCTAGCTCCCTCTAGCATATTGTCTTTGTTAGATGAAGGGATGAACTGAAACTTAAAATGAAAAAAAAAGGTTCTATGGATGTCACCAAATCTTACCTGAAGCCCGTTGCAGAGTGGAGGGAGCGTTTGATTGGCCGCTGCTTCCCCGTCGTTACGTTTATCTGCCGCATGACTGGTGAGGAATTTAATAAAGATTAGAGCCATAGGAACTCATACTCATGCACAATTTCTACAACGGGATTAATTATATTTACCATAATTCTTGACTACTTTCCTTTTATTCTTTGTCTGATGAAGCACCTTTAATGTTCCCTTACCTGAGAAGTCCAGTCTGTAGGTGTACTTCGCTGTGTAGAATTCCATAACACCTCGTTGGTTTCTGTTGTAGCACTGCTCAATCTGAGCACTTGTCACAGAGCAGGCTGCACTGGGATCAATCTGACAGGAAAAGATGAATTAGTCTAATGGCGATTGACATACTGTAGAATTAAGTGGCATCTATTTAGATAATTAATTGTTTAAGTAATTTTTCGAGAGAAAAAAGGCAATTTGTTAGTTCCAGTGTCTTTTGTGGCTTTTCTTTGTTTTAAATTATATTGTTTTGGTCTGTTGGTCAAAAATAATTTGATGTCACATTAGGGTTGGACTAACATGTTGTTTCTCAATTACTCAATTAACTGCTTGGTCTATATTTTATAGAGCAAACAACCAGTGGAAAAAATGCCAATCACAATATCCTACAGCACATGGCGGCATCATCAAATATTTTTGCTTTGTCAGACCAGCAAAAGTTAAAAAAATATTACATTTACAACAAAGTAAGAAGGGAAAAAGCAAGCAAATTCTCACATTTGCGTAGCATTCTGACTTGACAAATAACTTAAATGAATGAATCCATTCATTTTGAACTCATATGCAAAAGTAACACCAACCAAATCATTTTATTGACTAATGGACCTCAATCAAAGAGGAAGGACTACTCTGTGCCTGGTCTCTGACTAACATCAGACTGTTGGCTCACACAATAAAGAGACCCAGGTGTCACCGAGGGGGGGGGTTACAGTACTGTGATGTGTACAGTTGCCATGTCCTGTGAACTACCTCGAACATATGCCACACTCCACACTCAGCCAAGTAGAACCAGCACCAGTTGGGCTCTGAGGTGTCCATCTCCTCCATCTCAGTGGACTCCTCCTCGGACGATCTGATGGCTAACATAGCTAAATCTGAAATTAAAATAAAGTGGAAACACACTTAGACGACCAGCAACTGGAATAACAGGAAAGTACAACGGGGGAGAGGGGGGAGGGAGGTGGGAGGTGGGGAGGGAGGGCAAGGTGATGTTTAATTCGTGTGACGAACCTAACGTCAAGGAGACATTTTTAAGCCACGGTCGTGAGGGTATTTCATCTTGTAAACAAATTCAAACAATACAGGAAACAGCCACATCGAGCTAGCTATCATTAGCGGCTGCCGCACCCGACTCCTCTCCACTCTACGGGTGTCTTACCAGTTTTCAGCCTGTCTCTAACTGGCTCCCTGTCCTTATCGGGATATAAATCCTTCATTCATTATGAATAAATCACCACAGGAATCACAGGCTCGGAGTGAGAATGGATGACTAATAACGCTACATAACATTCTCGTCTTCCTGTGCGTTGTTTACTTTTATTTCCTGGTTCGTCACGCACGAAACGTCAATGCGTCAATGTGATGTGATGTAACGCCTCCAGCTTTTGTGCAGCGCTGTTGCCCCGGGTTTGACCTGTCAGGTGAACAATCTGCCCCCCCAAATACCACACCCCCAAAGAGTGATTTAATTGGATGTAATTGTGCCCATGGTATGGATAGGTATCTATGGCATAGACAGTTATGAGGGTATAGAGGTTAGAGTAGTATTGTAGGCCTAAGGAACCTGGGGAATAAGAAGAACCATGGTAGTTCAACATATCTCATCTTGCGATTTAAACAGGTTTTTGATAATAGGGTCGTATTTGCAATCCATTTTTTTTTTTTTTTTTTTTACAAAGAGAATATCCTGCATTTTACTCTCGCACTCTACCCTTCAGAAAGTATAAATTATAGTAAAAAAAAAAAATAAAAATACTAAATTACTTTGCAAATTATCATTTTACATGAAAAAAATAAAAATAAAAAATCACCTGCTTAAACTACAACGCATCAGTACGCACATCTGTAATAATAATCCTATATAATAATAACACTGACTGACTAAATGGTGCAGCATTTAACTTGCATCGTTTGTTTCTGGAGTGCATTTTGCTTCCTACATTGAGGTGTTGTAGGTTTTGCTTGAAAAAGTCACATTCCTTCCGCCAATCTTTGTAAGTTAGTGCGCAGGCGCCGAGAGTACACGCTGCCCCGTTACATTTGCTCCAGTCGTCGTCTTGTCTGTGTGTGTGTGTGTGTTTGTGTGTGGTATCCTTTAGGTCAATGTTTAGGACACACCCCCAAAGGTTTTCTTCAAACCTCGCTCAGTCAGTCAGGGGATTTTATTGTCGGAGTCCACTGCAAGCTCACGGGTGAGTTTAATGCATTAAAAACCTTTTTTTAAGACGCTAAAAATATTTAATTGCCTCATTGCGTTTGTTTTTTTTTGATTTTCCAGTCCTCAGCACAAGTTAGTAGATCATTTATTTGATGCAATTTGCAGTTAATAGCATTTGGGCGTTTGTTTTTGTCAGAGTCTCTTACATTTTTGCATTCATTTAACCAGAGGAAGAGACCATAATACACTGCATCTATTAGAATAAATGTGAGAACTATCTATTAAAATGTAAAAAAAACAAAAAAAATCTTCTCTTTATTATGTGTGCATACAACAGACTGAGAGACCATGTCTCAAGAAACAGCCAGAGGGGCCCCTGCCGGAGACCCCAAGCCAGATAAAGGGATCTCTGGGGAAAGGGTTCAGCAAAGGGGGAAATGGGCCAGCAAATCCGAGTTCTTATTCTCCATGGCTGGAGAAATCATTGGCCTTGGAAATGTATGGCGTTTTCCATATCTGTGCTACAAGAATGGAGGAGGTGAGGGACCGGGTTTGGATGTGTGGTGGATTTCTGTTGGATTTCATATAAAATAAATGGCTGCGGAGGCTGAGTAAAAGCACTGCAGATAGGCTGAAAATATGTGCACATTGTTATCACCATATTCAGAAAACATTTCATAGTGTACCGTTTTAGCTTGTCCAGACAAGTCGAAAGGATAATTCCATTTAAAGGTCATTCATTACAACTCCTCCCGCCTAGGAAGTTTCATAATCCACCTTTAATATGTGGAGGTTTTTGTGGCTTAATATGTGTTTGTCTGTCAGTGTGTGTGGCATGCCAACATTTATGGAGCTCTCTTGCTTTATGCCACAAACATGTAACTCTTCCTCACGGGTGTCTATATTTGCAGGTGTCTTTTTCATCCCTTACTTTGTGTTCCTCTTCTTCTGTGGTGTCCCTGTGTTCTTCCTGGAGACGGCGTTGGGCCAGTATACCAGTGAAGGCGGGGTGACCGCCTGGAGGAAGATATGCCCCATGTTTGAGGGTAAAAACAAACCTCAGACAGACTTTTGTTGAATTACACAAGACCGGAGGAAGAGTCAGCTGACGAGCGGGAAAATGTTCAGTGTCCTTTCTTCATTGTTAATGGAGAAGATATATCTGTTTGCATGCTGGTATACACTAAAGATGTACATTTTTAATGTTTCTAACCAGATCGAATGAAACTAAAAGACTATATCAATCATTTTATATTGGCTTGTAGAGATATTTTCTGTCTTTTTCAACAATAGTTCATCCTCTTTCAAGCTTGTTTTCTCCAATACTTAAATTCACACAGCTCTAAAACAAGGGCAGGGTATACATTAAAATAAATGCTAAGTGGAAGGGAACATTTCATTGATTGTGGCCAGTGCTGTAAACATTCACTAACTGTGTGAAAAATGTGTCCTGCAGGGGTGGGGATAGCATCCCAAGTGATTGTGGTCTATCTGAATATCTACTACATCGTGGTGTTGGCCTGGGCTATCTTCTACCTGTGTAACTCGTTCCAGAGCCCGCTGCCTTGGTCCACCTGTGACAACTGGTGGAACACTGGTAAGAACTGTTTTGTGAAGAGTCAATGCTGGCTTGTTTAAACACGTCTGTATTTGATTAACGTGTGTCTGTTGCTTTCTTATAGGCTTCAACAGGAAGCGCAAGAGGAATTCTCCCACGCATTTTAACCTTTTGAAATTTGCAACATCCGACTCACCTTCTTCTCTCTTTCCTCAACCTCTTAGAGTCATGTCACAGTACCGTATCCATGTTTGCCAACCCCCATTTGTTTAAACCTGACTCCAACTGGTCATTCCTAAACAACTTCACCGCATCTGACTACTCTGAGAAACTCACTTTTCTGTAAGTTATAATCCAGCTTTACCATCTTAACTATCACAACTTCTAATTGTGTGACACATACTGAATGCACCGTGGGAAGTCATCATATTGACGTGATACATAAAAAGAAATGATAAGAAATAAGAGATGAGTCTTGGCTTCCATAGCTGCAGCAGCTTTGGGACACACCCGTGCTTTTATGTGTTCAGAGCAGGAGGTTCTTACATCTGTTACTGTAAATAAAAACATTATTAATTGCTGCCATGGGACAGTTTAGAGGTGAAAAGTACACTGAATAAACAGGACTTATCAGATCTAAGTTTATAAGTTGCTGAAAAAACAAGTGGGGTGTCAAGTGGTAGAAAAATACCATATTAAAATATAATAAAACATAATTAGACATTGTGGGAAGATACACTTATTTGCTTTTTCATTAGAAGAGAAGCTACAGCCTGCAACCGGTTATCTTAGCTTAACTGGAAACGGGAAACAGCTAGCTTGGCTCTATCAGAAGGTAACAAAATCAGTGTAAAAATATAAACGTAAAAAAAAAAAAAAAGACACATAGAGGATTCTGTATAGAAGCCCATTTCCACCAATGTGACGAACATTTTTTATTATTTTAGGAAGTTATTAAGTCATTATTTTGAAATACATAGTCATTATTTAAAAAGTGTATCATTATTTTGAGATATTAAGTCCTGATTTAGAGAAAGTTTCTCATTATTTTGAGAAGGTTTGTCATTATAATGACTTGGCGGAAATGGGCTTCCCTATGGTTGTGTGTTGTAAAGCTAGACCTATAAATATATCACTCTGTATCAGTAATAGTATCTCATTTCAGATACATTGACATCAGTGTATAAGTCAGAATAATATGTATCAAAGTGCAATGCAGAAATGTAATAAAGGTCTGAGGTAATTTCTAAACAATGCTATGTGTTAATGTTAAAAAAAAAATAAAAATAGCCATTGTATTGTTATCAGATTTTAGAAACCCTTAAATATTGATATCACTATTGACATCAAAATCCAGTATCTCTATTTTGTTTTATATTTCCAGGAATGACACAGACCCTTTCTTTGCCACGTTACCTGAAGAGGAGTTCTGGAAGTGAGAAACACACAAACACACACTTTATCTTTTTAAAACATGAAAACAGCTTTGACAGTAATATCATCCTCCTTAGTTCGCTTGGTCTTTGGGGGAACATTCCTCAGCAATAACTCTTAATGCATCCCAGATGCCAAAGACCATCTATACTCTCAGGATACTGAGTGAACGTGATGTTAATGGTGAACCAACAAAAGCTGAACCGAGGTCACCCAAACATAGCAGAGAGTGTGAGCCAGTTACATTTGTCAAAATGACCAATCACACCATTTTATTTAACTTCCAGCTTTGATTAAAAGTACTTTTTCTTCTTACTTTTATATATTTTGAAACATGGCCGCTGCTCCTCACATGATATTCTCCTGATTTGGTGTAAGGTCAGATATTGAGAAATCTCTCACGCAGCTTCACTGCATGACGAGAACAACGTGTTCTCTTTTCCCTGCAGCTTGTATAATATAAACTGAAGCTGTCCAAAATAAACTAAGACAGACTTAAACATCTGTATTCGTGATGCGGATGTTGTATTTGTATTTGTTTTTGGTGTCGCACGAAATATAGCATTCTTCTCATGCTGTTAAGCCGTGACACATTTGTAGTTGGCTGTGTAGTGTATTTGCAATAGGTGAAAGCTTTGAAAGTAACAAACAAAGTGTGTTTGTATGCCATTATGCTGCATGTTATTTGCAGACCATGCAGTTGCATATATGTGTTTACGTGTGTGATGTCTTCCCCACAGGCACCGTGTGTTAAGAATATCAGATGACATGAACCTGTCTAAGATACACTGGGATTTGGTTCTGTGTCTCTTGCTTGCCTGGGTTATATGTTACCTCTGCATCTGGAAGGGAATCAAAGTCACAGGAAAGGCAAGTATTCCTTTAGCATACAAACAGTTATGTCTCCGATATTGCAGCGGTCCAAATGATTGACTTGGATAGGAAAGAAACAAAAGATCCTGGAACATGAAACAATTTATTTCGTTTTTGACTTATCTTTAGTCTTCGCTCTTGTGAAACACTGAATAGTTCTATAAACATCATTCATCTTTGGTTTAAGTATTCACATCTCAGAATTATGCAATCTATGACAAGGGTTTGCATATACATATATCTTCATTTTGAGGGCTCACCAGCAAAAACTGTTGGGAATCTGCCTTAATGAACAATCTACCTGTCAGCTGCCTTTAGCTAATCCTCTTTTCTTTTTTATCTACGTTCACTCCTGTGTGATTGATACAGATTTAATAAAGGGAAATTAAGTTATAATCCTTAAAGGGCCAGTGTGGAACATTTAGGAGGCTCTATTAGTAGAAATGGAATATAATATTGATAGGTATGTTTTCATATGTGTATAATCATCTAAAAAATAACAATCGTGTTTTTGTTACCTTAGAATGGGTTAACTGTTGTTCCCAAATGGCCAAAAAAAAAAAAAATCACTTAATACAGGTTTGATTTAAAGTGTTTGTGTGTACATACTGAATCATAACCTATTTGTTTCTATGCTTTTTTTGTGTTTTCAGGTGGTGTACTTCACTGCTTCATTTCCCTACCTGATGCTGATCATTCTCTTCATCCGTGGAGTGACGCTCCCAGGAGCGGGGGACGGACTGAGATATTACCTCACCCCTGACTTCAGCAAGATCGCTGATCCAACGGTAAGACCTCTCTGTCATGAGCAACTGCTCTCGTAACCACGTGTGCTGTTACAACTGCGTTAGAACCACGTCATTAGAACTTTAAGCGTTTGACATCAGGTCTCACAACCAACCAGAGCATCATCTGTCTCTTTTTATTTCTCTATACATCTCTCTGTTGGATTCCACTGTTGGATTCCACTGTTGGATTCCACTGTTGGATTCCACTGTCAGGAGATCCTTGAATACAGTGTGCTATTATTCTCATCGCCGCTCCCTTTCTCTGTGCCTTGACTCTTGCTTCCGGTCCCAAGACTTAAGAGTCTTAACAAGAAAAGCAAACCAAGATACCCTTTTCCAGTGAGAGGGTTGTCAGAGAAAGCATTTCCCTTGAGTACACAGTGACATCATCACACAGAAATAGTTTCACATGGGGAATTTCTCACACATTTTGAGGGTATATTTACTATATAAAAAGTCAATACAACTTGCTTTAGGATGATGGTAATTTGCCAAAAGCGATATTTACAGCTCATCTATTATTCACTCAGCATAATGATGTAATTTCTAAACTGAATAGGGAATTGAACAGGGTGGAGATCGGAGGGATTGTTGGCACGCTCTCGTACAACGACAGCGTCTGTTTCTGCCAGTAACGGCGTCTTAAGAAAAAGGGGTCTTTCTTGATTGTCACCCCTCTCCCTCTCTCTGCTTCTCTATCTCTGTCTTCCTCCCCTGGAATGTTCACACTCTCGGCTTCAGGGTTCAAATGTAATCAGCGGGGGGGTTAAGGCTCAGAAGGTCGCTTCCTCTTCTTCTGTGGGAATGTAGATGTGCAAAGGAGAAGATGCAAGATACAAAATGTGTCTGCCTCTCTAAGAACCCAAACATGACTGATATTCATACAGCTCTGAACTATTGTGGAAATCTTCATTTGTTATCATGAGACGCAGCAAAGAGAAAAACTGTGAGAATACTATTTGGATAATGTCGAAAGCAGGTGAAAGCAGTTATGGGTGAGAGAGTTACACAATACCAGATGCTCTTAAAACAGATCTGTTTCTAATGAGTCTTGCTTTAGCATGCAAGCATCTGTTTTTCCTTCAGAAAGGAAATCGTAATAGTGCTCTGGCTTGCGTCTGAGGTCTGTTTAATGTGTGAATGTGTCTCCTTTTGTCCATGTTTCAGTGTGCGTATGCGAGTCTGTATGCAGAGCAGTCAAAATAGAACACATTCTTCTAAGAACACAACAGTTTCCTCTTTGTCCAGTATCAAATGTAAAGATCCTTTAGGACATACTTAAGCCTGTATTTCTGACCCTAGACTGGGATTAAGTCGGGCCCACCAAGGGGCCAGAGTAAGGGTCTGTATATTGCTGTGGAGCCTTGCCAACTCTATCTTTTAGTGACTAAACTCAGCACTGTGGTGCCACTAATGTTAACCAGATGCTGTCAGAACAAGGGCCCACAGACATTCTTGTATACAAACCCGCCTACACCCAGAAACCTGAATGCGCACAAATACACACGCACGTTCACGTAGTTACAAAAAAAGTGGACATCTGTATTCCTGCAAAAGGAGATTTTATCAATTTTGACGCTGGCATAAAGCAGAGCTGTTTGTTCTTGTTAAGTTCTGATTAATTGATTTGACTTTTGTTGTTGTTGCTGTTGCTGTTGTGTAATACCCCTGTTGCTGTCAATATCTGTTGCTGTCATGTCTTAATGTTAATCATGTATCTTGCACTATCAATAAAAAAAAAGGGAAAGGAAAAGGGGGACAGCAGGAAGCGAGGGAGTTGCAATCTGCAGCTACACTGCTAGATGCCACTAAATCTTACACACTGGACCTGGAAATGTTTCATGAAGTTAATCTCTTACCCGTTCTAGGTATGGTCTGATGCGGGGACTCAGGTGTTTTTCTCCTACGCTGTGTGTCAGGGAGTACTGACTGCTCTGGGAAGCTACAACAAATACAACAACAACTGCTACAGGTCAGCGTCCATACGCACAGTCACGCCATTCTCAGTCCATTATCACATTTACAGTTTTACATTCATGTGCTCTGTGACAGTGCAGGTTGTTTTGTTCTTGCTGTGTTTTAGGGATTGCTTGGCACTGTGTTGTCTGAACAGTGCAACCAGTATCTTTGCTGGTTTTGTGGTGTTCTCAGTGCTGGGATTCATGGCTCATGAACTTGGCTTGCCTTTGAGTGAAGTTGCCAGTGCTGGTGAGTTAATTCCTCCCTTTTCATCATCATCTGCATCCTTTATTTTACTGCTTTTGCTGTTCATTTAATAAACAGCGCTATTCTTACATCTCATAACAGCTGCTGTATTAGTTTTTTATGCATTGGCTGCAATGAACTATTTCATCAACAAATTGATTGTTCGTTGTCTATAAAATACCAGCAAATAGTGGGAAAATGTCCTTTATTTCCCACAGCCTGAGGACACCTTTCTCAACAGTGGCAAAAGTACACATATTCTCTAATCAGGTAGAAGTACAGATTCAACCAATTTACTCAAGTAAAAGTGAAAAAGTACAGGTTCAGAAATGTACTCAAAGTATAAAAGTAAAAAGTACTCTTGTGCTTCTTTGAAGGACATTTCTACTGGCTGTTCCTGTGCAAAGCTAACTGAAACTTTAAAATAGGGTCGAGTCTCCCTCTCTTGTCTGTTCAGTCTTTTACGTTCTTTTAATCATGTAACGTTTGTCATGTGTGACACTCATTCTGATGCTAGGAAGGCGTTCAGTGATGCCAAAAAAAGGAAGTAAAATTAAAAAATAAACTAAAGTACAGATACCTGAAAAAACGACTTAAGTGCAGTGAGCAGTATTTATACTGCGTTACCTCGCACCTCTGAGTTTAATATCATGTGTGACAAAGACAGGCAGTTGGTACAACAACCAACTGTGTCCACAAGATGGCATCTTATGTTCACATACATTTGAAAGAATTTGCTTGAAAGTCTCTTTATTGTGGTCAGTGGAATGTTTTTAATATTTTATTGTTATTTTTTTGTTGTTTCCTTGTTCTACTTCCCTGCTCAACTTTTGGAAAGCACTTTAGACTTCATCTCTGCAGAGGAAAGGGCTATGCAAACAAAGCTCTTAAACTAAAGTTATTAATAGTTTAAAACCTGTCGACAGTGTTAAAACAGTGGTGCCCAAAAAAATTATCCTTCACAATGTTTTGTTTCATTTGCTCACTGTTCTATAATAATTCTCTATTTTGGCATGGGATGCTGGATTCTTCTACCTCTTCAGATTTCTAAAAAAATCCTTCAAAAGAAGTTAAATAAAGTAAAATGTTCAACTCATATCTCTCTCTCTAACCTTTGATGAGGTTCAGAAAACATTTTAAGGTGTCACAAGGCAGAAAGGATGGAACTTGAAAGATTGCTGCCCACTATCATGTGTTAATAGATGCATGCATGTGCTTTCTACAGGTCCTGGTCTGGCCTTCATGACCTATCCAAAGGCTCTGTCGTTGCTGCCCGTCTCGTCCTTCTGGACGGTGCTATTCTTCCTCATGATCCTCTTCTTGGGTCTGGACAGTCAGGTATTGTATGCAATGCATCATATATAGAGTTCCAGCATCATATTGTATTTAAAAAATAATCTGTTTCAATTCTGTCCTTAAAGTTTGTATGTGTGGAGAGCCTGGCCACAGCCCTCACCGACATGTTCCCACGTTACCTGAGGAGACCGTACGCCAGAGAGAAACTGACCCTAGTCATCGCTGTCGTCTGTTTTCTACTGGGGCTGCCCCTCATCAGTGAGGTTTGTAGCAGAGAGTATGTTTGATGGATGCTGCAAGTACAGTCAGTTAATGAGTTGCACAATAGTTTGCACTAACTAGGAGGAGGGAGTCAGAGAACGCCTTAGTGGAGCTGGACTTGTGACTCCAAAGTCAGTGAAAAAAAAAAAAGTCTTGAGTTTCGAACAATTCGCTCATGATTCACACATCACTAGCAAGGGAATTGTGAAATTGTTGGAATGCCCACTATGTGCTTCGCTAAATATGCTATGTACACCAATAATTAAATGGTTTCATTTCACAGTCAAGTGGAAAAACACAGCTTCCGTGTGACAGATTCTTCCTGCCTGACATGATTTTTTTCTGCTCATGTTTCAGGGAGGGATAGTCCTCTTTAACCTGATAGACACGTACGGTCCTAGTGGAACCAGTCTCCTGATCATTGCCTGTGTAGAGACCATTGTGGTTGGCTGGGTGTACGGTAAGTCACTCTGTTGGTCTTTACTGCACTACATGATGCTTTTTATTGACTTTTTTTCTCAACACAAAAGTGATTTATCAACTTATTTTCTAAAATGTTCTGAAAATGTGTGAAAACCTTTTGCTTTTGGGTATAGAAGTGTCGCTGCTCAATATCAGCATCATCAGTAGTGCACTACATTCACAGTAGCTACCAAAAGGAACTTCATTATAGTTCTCGTACTTGTGCAATCCTGACAGCAGCATTTGTTTCATCAGTGTAATCAACTCACTGCATCTGTATAATCTTATCTGTAAGAGGCCGGCTTTTGATAAAAAGATCCACACTCATTTTATTTTATCCTGAGTCACATTAAAGGGGACTAACAACAAAAAGACATTTTGGTGAGATTGAAAAGATAACAGGATCTGTGTTCATTTTTGTTTTAGAGTGAGTTTCTCAGACATTATTCCCCCATTACTCTGCATATGCATCACATACACTGCAGACATACACTACAGGGGTATGGAGGCACACAGAATCCAGGTATCCACTTTCAATACCTTGGGCTTTTTCTCTTTTTTAGGAGCTTCAATAAATATATTTTAGGTGCTTCCAGCCTTTTGTATTTTTTTTTAAAATCTCAAACAATGGCACAAATATTTGGCCGAGTTATCGCTGGGGTCGGCTCATCTCAGCAACTGCTGGAAGGATTGCCATGAAATATTGTACGGACATTCATTCATCACAGACAATGAATCCTAATGACTTTGGTGATCCTCTGACTTCCATCATCAATTTTTATTTGTCCAATACTTCAATTTTACAATCATTTTTCTATCAGCCTCAACTGTACTTTGTATTTTAAAAATTTTAATTCTGAATATAATAATAGAAAAAACATGAACAATAAAAACAATTTATTTCTCCAAGGACTGTAATTTGTGGTAAAAATATGTATACTGTGAACTATTTTTATTGGCAACAAATCATTTGCAATTATTTGTGTGTGACTTTCTTTTGACTCTGACACCGCCTTCTAGAAATTTATTAAATTAACTATGCTGGGCTGATGAAGATCAAAAACTAATTTTGGACCTCAACCTTAAAGGTTAAATATACAAAATTCACTGCTACTAGATGTCTAACTAGGGGATCTCATAATAAAACTATGGGTGCTGCAGCCCACCAGACTCCATTGAAAAAAACAGTAATTTTACCTCGCAGATAATGGTCAATCACACTTGAAACTGGACAGAAACAAAATAGTCATTGTTAGTCTTTCAAACAATCACAAATGCTGATTTGGTTTATATAAACCCTTAGTTCGCAGAATAAGATGTGAAAATATTTGTGACAGGCTTGGATTGTTATTCTTATTGTTAAGTGTCCGATAAGATTATGGAAAGGATCCCTACAGAGATAGAACTTTTGTTTAACCAGGAACAACTGTGACATTGCTATCGCTTGCAACCATGACTACAAAAACTGTAATTTTCTTCCCAGATTATTGTTACTTCATTCAAAGGCAGAAATAAAATAAAATCAAAGCCGCCATTGTTAGTCCTCACACTGTTCCAGTAATCACAAACTCTGGTTTGGTTAAAAATAAATCCATAATTCACCGTCGTGGATGAGAAAAACAGCAGTTTCAGTCTTTTTCCTCAGTTGCACAGGGAGGTACTCACATGCACTAACATGCATGTGCGGCCACGGACATGCATGTTAGTGCAGACAAGCTGTGATAACAACACACACAGAGGGAGTGTGACATCAATTTCTGCTTAGGATGGCACGAATCCACTATATCTTTACATAGCAAATACCTGTTTGCTGTTATACTGATGACCTGTAAATAGCATTTTTCTTCCTTTTTGCTTTACTTTAAGTGGCTTTACTTTAGGCACTCTGAACAGAGAGTAATAAGAACATGATGTATTTCTCATGACCCTCTCTCTCCTGCAGAAGGTCGAGTGCTCCATCTACTGGACTGTTTCTGACTTCATTCAAACACTAACAGAGGAAACGTGAGAACTTTAGGCCTCCTTACCATTTCGTTTTCAGTATTGTATTCTCCTCAACTGCGTCACAATTTGTCCATAGCCTATATCCCAAATGCCACAGCCTGAACCACATCCACTTCCATATGCCAGTCTTCCTCTGCCATCGTTTTAGATAAATCGTCTGAGCTCTCACTGCTTCCCACACCTTCATTAGCTGACTGAATTTACTGGCTAAATTACAGCATGTGGGTAGGGAGTTCCTCTGTTTTCGTGTTTGTCTTTTAGAGCTCATCTCTCAGATCTCATCTATATCGTACACTTTTCTCAGAACAAGCCGTTTCCTCTAATGAAACGGAAGGTATGTGTCACTCCTTAAAAATGTCCTCACAAACATGTATATTCAATTTCTGTGACTCTGGAAAAGTGCGTTTCCATTCCCAAAAGGCCTCTTGCTCTTTTGGAATTAGTGTCCGGCTACACATCTCATACTGCAAACTGACTCGGAGTGAGATATCGATCAGTTTCTGCCGCTGCTTCCTCTCCCCGGTTTGACTTGTTTAGCCATTCGTTCGGCTCCTCTGCCTCTTCAGAGTGAGTCTGTGTTATGTGTGGAGAAACTTCCTGAACCAAATTTAAATGAGGCCACTCACTTTCCTCTTGTGCAGGAATGTAGTTAGTTAGGGTTTTTAAAACTGTATTATTTTTGCATCTGCTTTCCTAAATAGGTAACTTCTTCCGTGCATTGTGAATTTGCAAAAAGTCAATCTGCGGATGCTGTTCAATCAGCCAGGTCATGTACTTGACCGATCTCATATCAGTTTTCTCCTGTTTTTTAATGTTTCCTTCTTTCTGTAGTTATTCTCTTCTCCTCCTCCTCCTCCTCTCTTTGGCAGCTCAAGGCGAGCAGCTTTTTCATCTCCATCTCATTCCTCCTCCTCTGTTCCTCCTCCCCTCACCTTTCCCCCTCATTTGAACCACCTGAGTTTTGTACTGAGATTAAACTGGAGTTTGATTTCCCTGGATACTTGCCTCCTCCTCTCCCCTCCCTCCTTCCTAATTATTCACTTATTCTTCATTGTGTCCATGCAACACTGTAAAACCAAAATGATATATTAGATTGTGTTACTAATGCTGTATTTCTAAATTCATAGCTGCAATTAAGATTGGTGTTTCAGAAAATGGGACTGAATTACAGTTTGCATGCTGTACATGAGTATTTAGGACATAAAGTATAAGTAAAAGTATTTTATTATGCAGACTATTTCATAATTGTTGATGTATTAATATGTATGACCTTAATGTTGTAGAGCTGTTGTGACTTTGGGTAGTTTATGATATTTTTGATATTTAAATACATTTATTTAATATTTCATGAACTGATTACATGATTTGTATGTAAAACCTTAATCTGACAAGTAACTACAGTTGTTAAATAAATGTAGCCTAGTATAAAATAAATGTAGTCTAGTAGAAGTTTTAAGTAGCATGAAATGGAAATATTTCAAACATTTACGTACTAACTTACAAACTTTCTGTTACTGGTCAATCAACAATCTAATCATAGATTAAGAATTTAAAAACTTCCTTAATAAAGAGTAACAATATCATTCCCGAACAGCAACGATCTGGAATTGATGACAGGATGTCACAAACCCGAGGCTTCACCATCTCATTGTGTTTTCAGTCCCCATGAGTTTGAGAGCATTTCTGGTAAAAACAAAACCATTTTGTTCCCTTTGATTGACCAACACCTCCCATCCATGACTTTGCAGGTGCGGACCGTTTCTATGACAACATTGAGGACATGCTTGGGTACAGACCGTTCCCCGTGCTGAAATACTGCTGGATGTTCATCACGCCGCTCATCTGTGGAGTAAGATACTCACACCTGCTTCACATCTCTTGATTGATCTACTTGGCTCTCTGCTTTAATGTGTATTTCCTCTCATGTTCTCATCTGTGTTCATTATTTCCAATCTTACTTTACTTCTGAGCGCAGATCTTTGTCTGCCCTTCATCACCCCTTATATTTGCTTCTTCCTGTTTCCCTCTCTCCTGGCCTTTCATCTTTGATCAGACTTTCATATATTTAATTTTGCCACATCAGTAATTATGCTTGACTTCACATATGGGAAAGAAGAGGAGAGACTGCTCTCTTTACATGAAAATGTGGACTCATCTGTTTTAAAACACACTTCACTGTAGACATGATCAGTGCAAAATCAAAAACTGTAGACAGCATTTTAATTCTTAAGTCAGTAAAAGGAGCATACTGGTGTTTTTGTGTATTTAAGCCACACAAATCACACAATTTAAGATACTGTTGCATCATAGTTTTACATGTCGCTCATATTGATGGACCCGCAGAGAATTATCTACGGAGCATTTTAGTGTCTTTTAGCTCATTGTTTTGGTTTTCTGGTCCACAGCTTTTTTGCTTTGGTCCATTCTCACTGCTCTCATCAACCTCTTTTGGCCAAACAAAATTGAATAAACCCACTGTACCCACCATCAAGGGGCAGGGAAGGTTAGAAACTAACTGGTGAAGAAATATTAACGTTTGTTGGAGGAGACCAAAACAGAGCTAAAAGGAGAATAAATGCTAACGCCATATAAACTGCGTAAGGTGACAATATGTTGTGTTTGCAGCTTGTTTTGCTATCCCCAAGTGGTCAAAAAATGTTCCACAGAATACTGTGTGTTCATTGCTGTAGCCTTCAGCATTAAAAAATGCACTGGCACTATATTAACACCACCAGTGAAGTAGTTGTAGTGAAGAAAGTTATATAATATATTAAGTTATATAATATGCCTGGAGACAAATAATAAAGAGAGAACCATTAGCAGAAGCTGCCCCTCTAAGTTGGAGAATAGTTCAGCATTTGCATGTGCTTATTTACCAGTTGAATACTTTATAATCATATAATTTCTTCATCATTTGATTTGATGCAGAGAATTTGATTTTATTCACCTAAAGACAACTACTGTTTGTTTCAAAGCTGAACCATCTAACTTGACCATTTCCTATCGCCTAGATCACACTGTTATATAACCTGTTACAACCACATATCTTCATGGTGTATGGTTATGTACCTGGTTTCTGGAGTACCATAATAGCCAGACTTCTTATCATCACTCCACTGATATGCATCCCAGCATTCACTTTTGTCTCACTCTATAAGGTGAGTCAATTCAAGTTGTATTTGGTCATTTTCAAAATGTGATTGCATGACTATGTTTCAGAACATTACATAATTGCATTTCCCCCCCTTGTGATCAGAATCTTAACAACATGACTACACCATCCAGTGATCTGCGTCAGGTTCGACCACACAAGCCAATCCTCACACTGTGTAAACGCGTCATCTTCGGGCCACAGAGGCAGCCAAACACGAGTGTGGACAGAAGAGAAGAGAAGATGATGATGGGGGACCACGGTGGGGTTTGATGGTCATTGATGACACTTATAGGCCTGAAGCAAATTATGGTGGATAAATGGTCTCATTGAATTGTAACATGACAACAAAAATACACTTTTTAAATCAGATGCAAAGTTTTATAAAAGTTAGGGTAATGTTTTTTTTTTTTGTTGTTACATAAGACCTTACTCTCTATACTTCTTTTATCATGAATAATGATGTGAGCGTCACATATAATGTTCCTGTACACCTATAATCCTGTATTTTTCTTAAAAAGTACTCCACAGATTTAGCACTGGTGATGGGCAGTTAAAAAAAAAATATCACAATCATTTTGTAATTTTCTAGGAGATTGAGGAGGAGTAGGGGAGAGAAAGAGAGAGCAAGCTTTAACCAAGCCTTTATTGATCCAGGTTTTCATTTGCAATAAAGAAAAACACAAGGATGGAAAATTTAAAACATACAAACCACCTTGCATCCAATGCATACCCCCTCTGTGTTTAAAAACAGAAGATATTGGAATACATTTACTTACATATATTTACTTATACTTCAAAAGATTGAACACTGAAGATACTGCAGCGTGTGCTCTGTGAACAAGTAATCAAATGTGCCTGTGATCTGTCTACCGGGATCAGCACACAGATCTTTATTGTATAAACAAACGATGCAAAAAATGTATATTCCAGTGCACTAAGGGTTGTTAGGATTGACAAATAGCTATCAATAGATGACATTAAAGACAATATGGTGCAAACTACATGTTTCGCATGTTGATTCATCAGTGAATATTTGACATGAAGCGATGTACTAAATACGTAGTTCGCTCCTTTTTGTTTTTAATGTAATTTGTTAATAAATAGTGTTAATCCTAGTATTCTTGTGTACACTGGAATATTTATTTTATAGGACCAATTTGTGTACATTATCTTCAATTCATTATCTGTGTTTATACTATATGTGCAGACAATGGTTACAAACTGTATTAATCTCATTAAATGTGTCAGTTTGCTAAATATCCTGGTGCAGTGTGTCTCTTTTGATTCTGTCCTATTGATTTCTGACCAGAGAGGACAAACATTCAATACAAGTTCAGGAGGATAAGCTTGTCAGATCAGTGAACAAATCTCATGTTTCCTGTTTTGCAGCAAGAAAACAAAAATATTCCACAGGTCTGTGTGTCTTCCTACCTCCTAAAAAAGGAACTTTATACCCTCTTGTGTATGTGTATGTATGTGTGATTTCACAGGATATGTGTTATTGGTGAACATGAATTTGCTCCATCATAATGCCAAGTTCAGTCATCTGTGTAATCCAAACCGGCATTCAATTAACAAGCTATTCCGCCCAGTTGCCTCCCAGCTCTCCTGACTGCCTCCACTCCACCCCCGATGACACAAAATGACCCTCAGTCCTGAAAAAATATTGCCTTGAATGCTCGAAAGCCCACTATTGGGTCAATCCATTGGCAGTTCAATGTTCCTCAAGTGGTAGAAAACAGCAGTAGGAATATGTGAGGTCATGCCCCCATTTTATACATTGATGGTTCTCTGCTTACATTAGAAGCTACAGGTTGCCTGAGGGTGGATAAAGAGCTATATGTGGTGCAACACTGCCAGCATTTTTAATTGGAGCATCATCAGCCTTTCCATGATCAGCCGCTAACCTGCTGCAGAACATTACAGAGTTACTGTAATGGAAAACCCAACCAGTTGTCTATATCTGCAGGTCATACAAATACAGCATGCAAAAGGTCAACAAAATAAGGCCAGTGGGTTATCAGCTGTCATGGAAACAATAATCAAACAAGTGAATAAATAAATATTGTAGGTTTTATTAAGCAAGTTCATTTTCTACACATTTAAAATCACTGGGTTACAACATGACGCTGTTCAATGTAGCACCAACACAATACTGGGTTGACTTCACCCAGAACCATTGTTGTGTATTGACCCAGTGATTGTGTTATTTACTGTTTGGTTATTAAATATGTTTATTTTGACCAAGGGACAAAAACAAGCTCAAGTTTTACCTTAAAAGTCACACAAATCTAATGTTTGTACAAAGCAATATGCAGATGACACTAAAAACCACAACAGACACACACATATCATTAACAGATAGTGACATGTAAGTTTAAAAAGAGCTAGAGTATAACAGCCTGTGCAAATAACAGGGCAATAATATAAAAAATAGCACTAAGCACGGGGTGGTTGTGGCCCAGAGGCAGAGTGGGTCATTCACCAATCAGAAGGTTGTGGGTTCGATCCCTGGCTCCTGGTGCAACACGTCAAAGTATCCTTGAGCAAGATACTGAACCCAGAAAATGTTAGTTTCTGTTCAATGGACTTTGCCATCGCTGTGTGAATGTGTGGCATGTAGTGTAAAAGCACTTTGAGTGGTCGGAAGACTAGAAAGGCACTATACAAATACAGGTCCATTCACCATTTAAAAAAAAAAAAAAAGTTGACCCAGTATTATGTCAGTGCTTTATTGATTCCAACTGGTTCACTTTTGACCTGGTCATTTTTTATTGTGTACTTCTATATTTTTGATATTGCAGCCAATACCCAAAACACTGGTACTGCAGCTACATTAAAGGAACACTCCAGCAATTTAGCATTGGTCATCCACAAAATGTTGGGAGTCACAAAAACTCTTTTAAAACAGAAATGGTCAAAATCGAAGCAACAGAAGCTGAAATATTTTAACCTACAGTCCCTAGTATGGGTCAAGCACCAAAAACACTAAATCCTATATTTCCCATAATGCAACTTGACAGTGTCAATAGGCCTACCCTGACTGGTAAATGCTGACATCTGTCAAACTCCACATTTCATTTCGTCTGTAATGCAGGCTTTCTGCTAAACATCCAAAGTCTTGAGCTAAATGACGTTATTGTGATGTCATCAGGGTTATTTTCTCAGGAAGTCACGGAAGACATAATTTTACCCTTTAAAAACATATCAATATTGAACCACCGATCTTTGAAAAATCAACAAAACAACAAAATTAAGACATAGAATATTAAAGAAAATAATATAAAAAATAGTTTGTTCTTAAATTACTTAGTAAATCTGAGCATGCTGGGATATCACATTGGTATAATTCTGCTGCATCATTAGTTCGCTTCACTAATGAACTGGGATCTTCCTCCAAATGATACCTGCTATCTTTGTATCCCCTTCCCTCGTTCTGCCTCATAAAAGGCAAAGAGAAAGAAGCAGAAGATAAGAAAAATGGGCTTGTAAAAAATACTGCGAAGATATTTCAAGACAAGAGGGACATTTCTTCTATTAAGTTAAATGTGGGAAGAAGATTACAGAGCGTAAATCCGCAGTGGGTTGTAAATAGGGGACCCCAAATTAAAAAGTTTACTCAAAGATATTCGCTGAACTTATACTCAGTATTCTCTCTATTGTTTTTATATTATTACCATGTTTTCATGTCTTGCCGTATACCTAATACTGTAACAACCCTCTGAACAAGTTTCCCTTGGTTCTCCCTGCAGGAGCACGGCGGGTGGTGTAGGATAATCAGGGAGATTTGGCTCACCTGCACTCACTGCTTACTACTCTATTTAAGCTGGTAGCAGTCTTTCTGTTGGTTTGGTTTCATTCCCTCTCATTTAAGTTTTATTTTTAAGTAAAAATATAGCACATATTTCAAGTTACAGTGCATGTGTCTTCTCTTCTTTGTCCAGCCTTAAGTTGGGCTGTGACGTCTCCTCGACTATCTCCAATGCTGATAGAACACATGGACGTGAACAAAAAGGAAATGTGATATTATCATTTGCTCATTACTAACATGGAGCTGAATGGTAATTATCTTGTCAGGTAATTATTGATGCCTCAACCACATCGTTTAATCATATATACAGTTGGCCAGCTGATTAAAGGAAATTGAATGCTCAACGTTTGGAAGCATCAGATGTAAAAGAGACAGGTAAAGACTATTTGGTAAAAACACTTCCAAATAAATATATCAAATCAGGGCAGAGGTCAAGGTCACCACCAGTTCTGTCTTAATTTGTCTTATTTAAAACTAGAACTGATTTAGAATTTGGTGGTGAAAGGTCAAGGTCATCACACTTGTTTTTGGTCATAAGTCAAAAATATTTATACAGAATTTCACACAGATGTTCAATGGGATAAGTGATGACATTTTTCACCCAGAAGGTCAAAGGTTAACTGTGACATCATAATGTTCTGGCCATTATTCAACAGCATAATTCAGGAACAGAAGGGGAGATTGCGGCCATATTTCACAGTTGGTTGGACACTGAATTTGTGACACTTGTGAGTCAAAGGTCGCTGTAACTTCAAATTAGGTTTTTAGCTAATAATTTAAAGAATGAACTTCAGATTTCACACACACACGTTGACTGGGACAACACAATGGGTAAACACCTAGCACAGTACTGGCATTCCTATTTCCACCTCATCCATTATGCCTTTCACTTCCTGCCTCATTCTGAATTTCGAGCATGATTGGAATCATGTGACTGCAAACAATGTGTGTGGAGTGTGTGATCATGTGAGCTTTACTCAATATAAGAATCAATCTTTACATCAGGTAAATGGGTACCAGCCATTACATGGATGATAACGTCCATTTAGCAATACAAGTATTGAAAGTATTAGAAAGTGTTACATGAGTCAGGATTGACACTGAACCGAACTACAACTTCACTGGTGGGCGGAGGAATACAAGCTCGAGGCGTTACCTCTAGTTTATGCCCAAGTTGAAGATGCACGTTAAAAACATGCAGGTAGAAATGCACTTCCTGTTTAACATATCTCACTGAATACATGGCAGTGAATGACTTTCTCTGCAAGGCATGCATCACTCTACGTTGCATTTATCTCTGTCTGTCCCTGCCTGTATAACTTCATCAATGTTTAATGAAGCTTTTGATTGCATTGCAATTCTCACAGGGCAAAAGGTGAGAAAAGGAAAAAATGTCTGCCCTTATCATTCAGTCGACCATTTGATCAAAATCACTAAGATGAAGGCAACACTGAATGCATCATGGTAACAGATTGTTCCGCATAACAGATTGTATTTCCGCTTGATTGCTTTTTTAAGGCTTTTATGGCGACAGTGTCTTGATGTAATTTAGTGGGGGGCATATTAAGGACAATGACTTTGCATATAACAAGGTCACAAAAATTTTAGACAGTTGCAATGATCAAACATGACTCAGGGGTAATGGAAGGAGAGCAGAATGAAATGGAGAATGAGGGGGTTGATAGATCTCTAGGGAGGAAATGGCACACTCTGCAGCGATGCCAATGAAACTCTACTGGATTTATGTATCAGGCAAACTTTAAATGAAGACATTTCAGTGCCCTCTGTCACTTCTTTTATCCGATGTTCTCTCACTTTCCGTTTTTTCTTTCTATCTCCAGTGATGGAACAATCTTCCTCTGCATCTTGCAGTCATTTTCCAGTTTCTGTGTATCTTTTTATCTCATTCCTCTCTTATCTACTCAGGAACTATACTGCGACATATCAATTTTTCCCATTTTTATCTCACTATCTTTCCATTCTGCCCCCCAAATTGTATCCACACCTTTTCCTCCCTCATTCTATTCAGTGATTTCTCTGCCCCTGCCTCCCTCATCATCTTTCATCTTTTCACTCTTTCTCTCTCATTAACACAATCATGCTCTCTCTGATGTGCGCCTGACCTGCGTTTGTCCTTAACCTGTGGAAATGTATGCAGCATGCACCGACCTACTGCATTACTGGGTAAAAATGTTGGTAATATTAGCCTTCATTTCTATGCATGCCAATCGCCTCTGGGTGTTCCATGCTTTATAATAACCCCTGCATTGATTCACAGACCACGACACGTGCTGTGAATTAAAGGCAGCTCACAAGGAGGCCCCATAGGCAGCAGTAGCAAAATGCAAATCCAACACTTTTTATGATGCACTGACACAGAATGATATGTTGGAATTGTTGAATTATTACTATTTGCAAGATTGATTCACCAAAAAATCCCCTTATTTATTATTAAGAGATTAAGATTAAGGCAGATTGGACAATGTACACTAGTTAGAAGTTACTGCAACTTCCGGTTTTGCTGCAAAATATCGAAATTCAACATCACGGATTCTTCTGTTCCAGCAAGAAATGACCACTAAATCCAAAATGGGTTGAGTTGATGGTATTAGAAGTAATATATATGCATATCAGTGGAATTTACCGTGGCGCTGCTCGTTAGCAGGACCATGCACAAGACCCCTGTGAGATGTAGATTTTCAAGCACTTTTAGCCCCTCAAATACCGGTATGTGATTCATTTGGAGGCATAATAATTCCTATATTCATACCTATAGGGCCTTCACAGTGGTCGCTGCTCGGGCCCTGATTAGCGAAAAAAGGTTGATGAGAATGTTTTTTAAAGTATTTGGTCATAGACCTAAGAACTGGACAAACTCACATTTCAATCTGCTGCTGACACTACAGTGAAGGTTGGGAATCACCAGTTGTCAGGATGTAGCCTTCAGACAGTGAAAAAATTCTGTGCGGATCAATCCAATTAAAGATATTTCATTAGAAAGTGTAAACTTTGACCTACTAGTGTAAGGTCAGGGGGTCGGAGTGACATTATTATTATCAACCTCCAAGATGATTTATTCTGTATGTCGGGAGTGAGCCATTACTCAGCTTTTTGTTTTGCTTTTCTGCAACAAAACAACATCTGGATTTGCTGAGTCATTTATCATATGTAGCATAATGCAGCGCAGCTCTCTAACGAATGTGATGAGGGAAATGCATCAAATATGAAGTCTTTCTCACTAGCAACATACTTTTGACCTTTGCCAACATAACTTACAACAATAATGTTGTGTTGACAAAAATAGAATATATTAGACTCGTTTTAAACGTTGAATACAAGAAATCTACAGCAACATAGGTTATTATTATAAACATTAGTCCAGTGAAATATTGAGAATTTATAGAATTTAATGTTTTCAAAAACTGGACATATTCTTCATTTTGAATATGTTCTATGATCCATTATTCTGCTTCATGAGGATGTGTTTGGATGTTGCTACAGGCACTCATTACATACCGTCAGGACCAGCGCTCATGCATAGAAATGACTAGAAGTATATCTCTGGGCATGCAGAGTCAGCAAATCTCAGAGGTATCCATAAGTTAAGATGCTGTTACAAAGTAAATAAGATATTACAGTGGATTTTATGGTGGCCTTAACACAACATGCCACACCTCACAAAGGGAACCACAAAGGTTTATATGCAGTATATGAACAAATATATTTTAAAAAACACAACAAGGTAAGAATGGTTTAGCATTACATGGTGGAGCAATTGTGTAATGAAACAAGGGTTTGCTTCTGTTCTATCTTTTTTATTTCACACCACATTTGTGTTTCGTCTCGGCGCCTTAACTGTTCTGTATTAAGAAAAACGTGGGAGACTTAAATCTGCCACAAAGAAGATCTTAAATTCTGACCATGTTTTGGAAAGCCAACAAGCATTACTGCAGGAAAATAAACGCTGTTAAAGAGGACTTTAGACAGAGGAACATAATCTGTGCTTCTCACTTTTTGTCACTTTATTTCCTTTGTCTCTCTCTCTTAAGGATCGGTGTGTAGGATTTAGTGGCATCTATAGCGGCGTAGATTACAAGCCTCTCGTCTCACCCTCCTGTTCCAAGCATGTCTACGGTGGCTGCAAAACTCCCAAAAAAAGGCCCTTTCTAGCGCCTGTGTTTGGTTTGTCCATTCTGGGCTACTGTGGAAATGATTCCTATAGTCAGGTGATTATACATTAATAAATACATACCGATGAATATTACATTTCTGCCAACAGATCCACCTAAATATTACGCATCTGCCCTTTAACAAAAACCTAAGGAGGGAAATCTTCAAAACTCTGACAAACTAAACTTTTTCATTATGACATTCATTCTCTCTGTCAGCCTGCCTCTGTCACCTACATAATCGCTCCCTATTATTCTTGGCTGTGGACACTCTGGAATCGTAATTAGGCTGCATTGATCGAGGGACGCTGTAAACAGATTGATGAAAACCAGCTTTGACAACTCCAATCCAACCAGCTTTCATCGTTTGGGTCCATACGGACAATAAACCTCACCAGAGATTACACTGAATCTGTTCTTGATAGGGGCAGCTTGCTACGGGTGTAATTAAGCTTCTAATATCATTTAATCTCTCACTTTTGAAAAACCCAGTATCTATCAACCGTCCCCACCCACAAGCACGCCAATGGGCACTGGGTACAGTGTTGCCAGGGCCATTGTGGCAATGTTCATTAGTTTTTCTAATTGGCTGGTGATGAAATATCTGGAGCAGATATTAATGTTAGGAGGATACCTGCCAGGGGAAACAAGAGGGGTTCATCGTATCTAATCTTATTAATATTAATGAAGACATTGTTTTACTGTCACCAGAGTAATTAAAAATACAATATACCTAACATCACTGTATCTATTATTGGTGTAACAATTGCACTGGTTTCATGGTGTCTGGATTAAACCGTAACAAACTCAACTCAACTGACTCAATCTAGGGAAAATTCAGTGTGACATTAATTGCCCCTTGTGGCCACAAGTCAGTGAAGGTTAAGCAAAATCAAAGTAGTCAAAGTCATGCTTGAATGTGCCTTTGAGGCGCCAACTGGGACTATTTGGCACTGCTTAAAGACAGAGGAGGAGTTTGTTCAAACAAAGTTTCAGTTTAGAGGAATAATATGGCAGATAGTTGAGGTATAGTAGAGTGGCACATGACATTTCCTTTCGGTCTGTGTGGCACAACGGTCCATTTTTTTCATTAGCAGAAAAGGTTGCTATATGCCTGAAGATGCTTCAAGATGCAATATTTCTTGAGACTGCTGGCATATGGTATTGGTACACAAAGTTTGCAGAGAAATTAAAATTCTTTGGCACTCATACACTTTAATCTGTCCTATATTTCCTTCCAATCATATGAGTGGGGACACTGAGGATGAATATTAGGTCATTTTATGTGCTGATTGCTGAATCTGATACTGGCATGACCGCATTTGTGGTCATACATTTCCAGGGTCCTTGCCAGCAGTCGTCCCTCGTTTCATTTTCCAAAACTCCATGAGCTCTTTCACTGATCGGGCCCTTCTCTGTTGGGAAATACCATGGCAACGGTGTTGGCAAGAGCTGACCTCGGCTATCGCAACAAACACATGTACAAAGCACAAAAGACACACTGCTGCTGCCGCTAGAGTTCCCCACCAGAGATGGGCGATTGACGTATCCCCCATGGCCTCGGGGCCTCACTAGTCAGAGCTGAGCAGTAATCAAAGAGGACACACAGGTCGAACTTTATTATCAACCACTCGATACCAGCAGCAGGAACAGCCACAGGTCCTCCAAAATACAGTGTACAGGAAAGAGCTGCAAAATCAAAAACAGCTTTTCAGGCAGCAGATACATTGTGGCTTCCCTTGGGCCTGGAGAGCCGGCTTGAAGCTTTTCACAGTTGACTCAAAGATGATCATTTTCCCTCTGGATGTTAAGTTGAAGTTTCAGGACTTTTGTGGTGCCCGTGTGGAGAACTGAAGCTGATGACCTGACGAAGGACTTGGAAAATCTCTCAGGTAGGATTACCCTCATTTTCCCCTGTCTGTCACAGACATTAGAAATAAATCTGTTAATCAGTATGACTTCATTAACGGGTTGAAACTCTTTGTTAAATTCTGCTTTAACTGTTGAGCGAGACAAAACTTTGCTGCTATAGAAAGGCAAAATAAAAACTGGCATCCAAAGTCTGTGTCATAAACAGCATGATTTACTTTGAATCTAAATGGATGACACCCTCAAAGGGAATCTCTGATGTGTTTGGTATTATGGGTATGCTTTTGAAGCCGATACCGGTACTCACCTAGACAACAATTTGATAGTACATTTTTGATCATTTCACAGTATTATGCACAATTGAAGTTGATTGCTTTTTACACAAGTCATTTTACAGCAAGGGAGAATTTGTTTGATCAGTATTGATTATACTAAACATAACAGTCACTGTTTAAAACTGTCACTCTGACTTTTTCCATTACTTTGTCCTTTTTTGTATTTTGAATAAGAATCATCTGTGTCCATTGCGTAGACAGTACACTTTGCCAATAATTTTTTCATCAGCATCATCAAAGGGTAGTAGTCATAAATGATGCATCTATTAAATAATGCAAAGACGTTTCAACATGAGAAATTGCAATTGAACATGAATATACATTTGAATACTAAGAATACTGAAGAAAAAGACAGTGAGCACAGTCAATCAGACAGATAATGAAGTACGGCAGGCTTTTTAAATCAGTGTAACATGGTTAATGATTAAGTATGCAAAAGAGTAATACAATGAGAAAGCTCAGTGTGATCCTTCTGTTTCAAAGCTCCTCTGTGTGTGAAAATGAGCAATGAAATTTCCTCGAAAAATATCAGGGCTGATCAGAGAACATCTCTGTTCTTATATCAGCAAATAATCTTAAGCGATGAAATCAAGGGATTTGGACAATTTCTGGGTCAATCAATATTTGCTAATCATGAACAACTTCCTCCCAATTAACATTGCGATCATGTGATGCCATCCGGACATGAGATGAGAGATTATTCCACAGGCAATTAATGGCTTAATAATTAAGATATAAATGAATAAGAATTCACTTTGCTAGAAGCGCGCTCATATATTTATATTCTCCAGAGTGAGCAGCGATATGTGGAAAGCACATAGTTGAACCTTTGTGATATTTTCATCTAGGTTTTTCCTCTCTTCCTTTTCCCATCTTTTGGTATTGTGATGACTCACCATGAACTCGACTGTGGTGGACTGGAAAGAAAGGTGAGGTAGAGGGTGTGTCAGTAGTGATTAAGATGTACGGTGCAGTCTTCTCAAGAATGACCTGGACTGCGCCACCTGCCTGCTCATATCAGACCAATGGTGCTTGTTCTGTGCTATTTTTGTTGGCTTCCATAATCAAATAAAAACCTGTCTTGTGTGTAGTTATGCCTCCCTGATTTAATATAATAGAGCTTCTTCCGCCTGTGGGAGAGGCACAGAACCTGCTCACCAAAAATAGGATTCTAAAGAGAATTTCTGGAGAAGCAATTACCCCCAATTACTCAATAAATCATTCAGTTAATAGAAAGTATTTGCTGTTTTCCTCTGTTTTATGTAATTGTAAACTGAATATCTTTTAGTTTCACTTTTAGTTGAACAAAAGAAGAAAATTTGGGCTTTGAATAATCTGAGGGAAAAAAATCGGATTAATCAATAATGACAATATGTTTTATTTGCAGCGCTACACCCAATACTGGTTGGAAAAATATCACTTTTGTACTTACACTCAAGTTCAGATTGTTTTTTTAACCATCATTGCAACATATACATACATATAGAGCAAGGAATTGAGATCCTAGTTGTATCACCTTCTTAAGCCACCCAGATATTATGACTTTCTAGGATATGCTTCTGCTAAAGTTTGTACTAGAGATGTATGAAAGTCATAATTTAACTAAGAAATAATTTGGAAAATATCTTTACACAACACCCAGACACAACATTTATAAATTTCAAAAGCATCGGTGGAAACAGTTATCATCTAGCTCTAAACGGCTACAATTAACAGTTATCGTTATGCTAAGTAGCTACGTTGCAGACACACACACACACACACACACACACACACACACACACACACACACACACACAGAGTAACTTACTTTACTTTTTCAAGACCAATACTCTCATACCCTTCCATGGGCTCTTGGATTGGGAACAAATCCAGCGAGCCAGCTAGTCTACTGTCTCAACAGACAAAAGGTCAGCCTGAGTCCTGACCCCTCTAGTACTATATTTTCACCTTTACACCAGAAAATGTGGTCCACTATCATTCTTCCTTCTTTCTGATTCATATTTGTCTGTGCAGGAACTCTCAACTTCCTCACTGTATTATTTTCTCACTGATTTATGCAGTAGTCATAGTTTTGGGAGCTATATAGTTGCCCAAGTTAATAAAAGGGCTGTAAACACCATAAAAAATGCCTCAACATCAGTAGATTGTAATTTAAGTATCATTCCCCTGAAACACACCAAAAAGCTTCCAGTATTGCCCATATATAATTGTTGTAACACTGCAAAATGTATTCTCCCTCTGTCTACAGATTTTCTGCACATTGAGTGTCTGCGCATTGTCTGAATCTGTCGAGAACCAAATTCGACGCGAGAGCCTTGGCCGGACAGGACCAGAGAGTTTAATTCGTCACCATTACAGGCTGTGAAGACCAAGTGACTTCCTGACCCCACTGGTCTGTAGTGGTCCCACCATGGGGAAGACTGGGAAGAGTACAGTGGATTTAAACTCCCCGACGGAGGTCAAACAAGCGGTTCCCTTTGAGGAACTGGATCCTGTGGCGCCCCCTGCAGATGAAAAGAAAAAAGAAGAGCCACCCGACAGGGGGAGCTGGAAGGGAAAGTTTGATTTCCTGCTGTCATGTGTGGGATACGCCATTGGCCTAGGAAATGTCTGGAGGTTCCCTTATCTGTGTGGCAAGAATGGTGGAGGTAATTGCCATCAAATCATCACCCTCAGCTACCTCATCTTAGCAAGCAACAAACACACACTTCTAGCGGTCTCTTCTTGCTTCTGAATCAACTCTAAAACCAGCTTCCTCTTGCCAACCGCTGCTTCTTTGCCCCATGCCAGCTGTAGTCCAAACTCCCCATCCCCAGCTGTACCTGCCCTACAACATCCCTATGTCTAAATGCTGCCTGTATTGTCTTCCACTTCCTCCCTGATGAGATTGTTGACACTGTACTATGTAGGCCTGCTGCTATATCGGTAGACTCAGCATCATCTCCAGCCTTGCTTTTGCACTCCTCTGTTAAACTGGTTATAAGGAGCCCTCAGACACCACAGTTTGAGTATCTATACTGTCATCCTCAACAACTGGATCTGCTCCTTTATGAACTTTAACTGGCTTCTCTAACACTGTTGGAATAAAGTCCCCATCTATCTAAAACTCTTACTTCAAAGCACACCCTTTACAATTGCCTAACTACCATTTCCACCTTTTTCAAAGTGGGTGTTCAACATCCATTGGGTGGTCTAGTACCCCAGTGGGGGGTGTATGTAGAGGTAAACCTGTCCCTATTTTTGTGTGTATACAGCTTTTCTAAGTAAGCCTCTAACTACCTAGTTCATTTTTGACTGTTTTTTTTTTACTCATTAATGCACTTCCCTCTCATTATCTACAGTTGCCTTCACTCTCTGATGAACCTATCAATCTCCTGTTGCTGCCTTGACTTTAAAGCTAACTTTTTCCTAGTCTCACAAACCCCAAATTGTCCCTCCAGTGCACTTTCATAGGGTCTTTGACTGACGTTGCCCTTTCAGAATACATTTTATTGGGAAAAGGTCCTGAGCAACACATTAACATTTATGGAAACTTTTTTTAATCAGTTGCAAACTTTCGCTCTGGGCAAGTGTATATTCTCTGGAAGATGTGTGTCCCCTGCATGCAGATTGTATCATATTTTTAACAGGACTGTCTTCTAGCATTTTTCATAAAATGCTAATAACAAAATAGATCTTCAGGCGGGAGCTGTGGTTGAACAAATTGGAGAAAATGGATATGTCATTCTTACCATAATAGTACAGCAATATTCCATTTCTTTTTCAGTCTGAAATGAATAAAAATAAATATTAAATATTAAGGTTTCATACAGTCACTACATTGTATTATGAGCTGTCAATCTAAATCATATCAGTGTGTTGAAATGGGTATTACTCTGATATGTTTATGATAGTATTGCTGCTAAAACTTTCTGATTGTACTTCAGCCATTTTTGAATTTATATAATTAGAGACAGACATAAAGTCGTTCAAATTAGTATCAACATTATCATACCAAACAAATTTGCTTTATGTACTTTGTGGTGATCTCTTTAGGGGCCTTTCTGATCCCGTACTTTCTGACCCTGGTGTTTGCTGGGATACCTCTCTTCCTTCTGGAGACGTCCCTGGGACAGTTCACCTCAGTGGGAGGGTTGGGGGTGTGGAAGCTCTTGCCCATGATGAAAGGTAAGATGTAGATATAAATATGAAGAAATGGATGTACTGAACTACCTGTTGTTGCCTCATTTAAATGTACACATTTGAGCTCCTGACACGGTTCCCCTTAGTGGATGCACAAAAGGAAACATTTGATTTATTAGCACAGATTCAGGATGATTTCTATACCATGACACTTGTTGCTTACGTAAAATAAACATTCAAATGCAAATGGCAAGGATATTAAACTACCAAAGAGGTGCATAAAAACAAAAGTTTAAAAAAAAAGAAGGATAATAGTTTTGTTGACAACTTTCCCCATTTAAGAATCTTCTCCAGCCAGTGCTTGTTGGTGGCAATTATGCCACTGCCTCCAAGCTCAAAGAGCTCGAGTGAAGCACATTTTATCTCCTGCCAGCACAGACGGCAACAGTGATAGTGAGTGTGCCGCCCTGCCAACTGATACTCAAAGCCAAGGGCAAGTAAACAACAAGAAATGGAAAAATAACAATGATGAGGATGATGAAGATTATTACTTACATGCTGAGTAACAAACCTTTTCTTCTCTGCCTACCATCTGCTCTGGTGTTATTTAGCCCTTACATATTGCATTACATGTTTACCTTGCATGATAGCTCACCTATAAAATATTGTACAGTAAAATGATGAATGTCTCTTCCTTCCTCAGGTGTTGGTTTAGCTGCAGTGGTCCTGTCCTTCTGGCTCAACATCTACTATATTATCATCATTGCCTGGGCACTCTACTACTTATTCAACTCCTTTGGTTCGGTATGTTACATAATCAATCCTTCGGGGGGCAAACCTAAACTAAAACTTTAAGAACTGATTAGTTAATTGACAGAAAATGACTGCCAACAATTTTGATAATTGATTAATTGTCTCAAAGAAAAATGTCAAAAACGTACAGGTTCAAGCCTCTTAAACGTGGAATTTTTGTCATATATGATGAAAATGTTAATTAAATATCTTTGGGTTTTGGACTCATGGACAAACAAGCAATCTGAATATTTTACCATGTTCTGCAAATTAATCTATTAGTCTACTAATAAATTAATTGCAAATCGTTAGAGCAACCGCCCCGCACAGCAAAAGTGCCCTCTTGGATGCCCCTATGGTTGATAAAACATGATAAAGTCCCCCCTAGGGTGACATACCAGTGGACAAAACATAATAATCTTATCAGAGTATGTATCTGTTTTACCATAAATGCGACTTGCTGCACTGGTGCCCTTTTTATTTCACCACTGACTGAGCCAGATCTGTTTAAAAGAGATATAGAAGTTCATCAAAAAATGAAGCAGTAAAATTAAAGCTGCACTAAGCAGTATTTCTATATTAGCAAAGAGGCAAATGATTATGTGTAATGTGAAAGTTGTAGTCTGTAGTGACAAACCCACATAGAATTATCACCAAACTCTGTAATTCCACCCCAACTCTACAGATCACATGGTGTCTTTAAGCTCATTGTTTCGGTTTTCTGGCATTTTTACTGTTTAGGTTCACTCTCACAGCTCTGATCAGCATAGAAAAGCATAGCATAGCCAAATATTTCATTTGCCTCCAAATAAATACTAACATTTCTCTATGTCTGTTGGATGTATATTAAGGCCTACTACCTACCTACTGTGATTACAGCTTGTTTGTGCTGCCCCCAAGTGGCTTAAAAAAATCAGTAATTGCAGGTTCAGTGTCACATCAGAAAGGTATTTGTACCTGTTTACTGCCAGCCATGCCTTCATCACTTCATGTATATTGAGAAATGATACTCAGGGTCTTGTTTACCCCCTCTACAATGTCATTCTTTCTCTGTTTTGGCTTTTCTCATTCTGTTTGTATGTCTCTGCATGACTGCCCGGCTCAAAGAAGCCTGGTGGAAGAAATTTAAAGACTTTGCAGGCATTGTGCTTGAGGCTCTTGTGGTGGGAAAAATGGAGGATTGAGAAGCAGGGATCAAACAATACATTGTTCATTGTTATGCTTTTAATCTGAAGGCCGAAAAAAACATGACTGGCTCATTAAAACGTGGAGAGTGAAGGATACACATGATAGAAGTTAATGTTTTCCTGGGAAGAAAAGCAGAAATGTGTTTTTCTTGTATAAATCCTGTTGGTTTATGTGTTTATTAAAATGCTACATCCGATAAATCCCACAACAGCCTTTGGTGCCAAAATATAGAATGCAAAACTGAGAAATATGTCATCATATTTTTGGAGCCATATATATTTTTTTATGCATATGTTTTTTTGTGTGAAGGAGCTGCCTTGGCAAAGCTGTGATAACCCCTGGAACACAGAGAAATGTTTTTGCAACTACAGCCTGACAGACACCACCAACCTGACCAGTGCTGTCACCGAGTTCTGGGAGTAAGTCAGCGAGATACGTTCCTGCCATACAGCGTGTGAATGTGTGTGCAAGATGCTCTGTACAAGAATGTGTAAATAAGTGTTGAAGCTATTTCTGGAAGCTATTTGTGCTTATCTGTGTCTGAATTCAGTGTGTGTGTGTGTGTGTGTGTGTGTGTGTGTGTGTTTTCCTGAAGGCGTAACATGCACCAGCTGTCTAGCGGTCTGGAGGAGCCAGGGGAGCTTCGCTGGCCCTTAGTGGGCACTCTGGCACTGGCCTGGGTCCTTGTCTATTTCTCAATCTGGAAAGGAGTGGAGTGGACGGGGAAGGTCAGACTCTGTGCTTGAGTTTCTCTTTAAACTTCCAGTACTGTCTCTGGCCGCAGACTACTTCTGATCTATCTGAGCTTCTTTCTCTTCCTTTTGCATATTTCACGTTGTAATCATACAAACATGACAAGGCATAGAGCTGCTCAGGAGGCAGAACTGATGTTGTTGTTGTCCATTCCTGATCGGTGGAGCTGATTAAAGAGAAAAATGGATTCAGGAGACCAGACTGAAATAGATTATTGTTCCATTTTTTTAAAAATACGTCTTAATACATGTCTGCAGGGGATCTTTAACCCTTCCCTCTAGTACTATCATTAGTTAAAATTTTTAACTTGTGTTATACTTTTATGAGCAAAACCTAAACACAACTAATGACATTCCCATCAGCCTCAGCTGTATGTTGCGTTTAGTGATGATTATTAACAAATGTTAGCATGCTAGAACACTGATCTTATAGTTGTAATTGTATTTGTTAGCATGTTAGCATTTAGCTCAAAGCACTGCAGTGTCCATGCACATCCCAGAGGTGCTAGCAGACTCTAGTCTTTTTTAGGATTAAAGTTAGATGATCAGGAATCAGTAGGTTTATTGGTCCATTAATATAATAGTCCAAAGGGGGGCTCCAAAAAATTGACACTAGAACTGAACTTCTGTAGTGGGTTTGTTTTTCATTTAGGTCTCTCCTTGGGCCAGAAAAAGTAATCTCAGGCTTGACGAGATATGTGAAATTGGTAATTGGATCATTTCAGCCCCCTTCTCCTTTTCAGTGTTTCTGATTGTCTGTGTGTTTATTAATCACAAAGCACACTGGCATAGAGTCATAGCTCGTAGTTCACAGCTCAGTTGGATGTTATTCATCATTGCACAGGCTATTGATCTGTCCCCAAAATAGGAAAACAAGGATTTCATCCATTGATCCATAAATTCACATTCAAAATTGATTCTAGAGTTTGAAGAGAGTTTCAAATTAAGTGGTGCTGGCATTTCAGCTTACCCAGTTAGATATTATAATATAAACTGTATATTATGTTTTAGTAGTTACAGATCTTTCAAATCTGGATAGGACATCATTAATGAACATGCAGTTTTCCTAATTTCCTTTTTGCTTGTTAGTCTAATAATGACTGTTTAAGCTCTTCCCCTTTCTATTGCTTATTTGTATTTATCTGCAAATCAAATTGAAATGTCTGGCTCTTTGAACTTCATACGAAGAGTGTCTGTTCTAATTTTATCTATGATTTATTCATTTTCTTAAAGCTGCCCAATATGCAATCCTGATTGGAGAGCTTGTAAATTGTCTATATGTATTGATTCTGAGCCCTCATACATAAAATAAATTTGATGGAGCAGGGGTCTTAGAATGTATTTATTCTTCTCAGATATTAACCCTGATTATATCTGCTGCCATTCTGCTGTTCAAACCCTGTCACTCTCTCAGCATTTCACTCTGAAATATGAAATATCAAAAGTTTTTATTTAATCCCAAACTGCTGGATGAGGAAGCTACTAAGAGAAAATGAGTAAAAGAGAAGAAAAAAATAACTCACTCTGCCTACTGCCTGGATTTTTTAAATTACAGCAAGTCGAAGCGATGTATGTGAGCAGAAACACATTTACACATTCACTGGCAGGGATAATTGGATTATAATGTGTGTGAGAAAAATGAATTCCCCCAAGAACCTGGCCTTGACGGACATTACCAATTAAGCATAATGATTATGCTACAGAACTACTGGCCACGTCCTCTAGCAAGATCTTCTGGCAAAGTGAAGCCATGGATATATTCTAGCAGTTGAGACATTATTCACTCTGTGATCTGTGTCAGCAAGGGTTTTTGCATCTCTTTATAAGTTTTACTTATTTAAGAGGAATGGCTTTGAGTTGTTTGCAATTGTGATTAACTTGTTCTCTCTGTATGTCTCCTAGGTGGTGTATTTCTCAGCCACGTATCCCTACTTCATGCTGTTCATCCTGTTCTTTCGTGGGGTCACTCTGCCTGGAGCCATTGATGGGATCCGCTTCTATATCACTCCAGACTTCAATAAGCTCATCCGGTCTGAGGTAGACAGGTTTGCACACACATCAAATCACACATGGTCATAGACAAAGAGACACAAATACATGCCCGTACTTGTATCTGTTGTCTTACAGGTGTGGCTGGATGCGGCGACTCAAATCTTCTTTTCTTACGGACTGGGCCTGGGCTCGCTCATCGCGCTGGGAAGCTACAACAATTTCAACAATGATGTGTACAAGTAAGAACACGGAGTAACAAGCTTTGTGCATCCTTTATATATATATATATATATATATATATTTTTTTTTTTTTTTCTTTTTTCATCTTCTTAATTTTGTTCCTTTCTCTTCAGGGACTCCATCATAGTGTGCTGCATCAACTCCTGCACCAGCATGTTTGCTGGCTTTGTCATCTTTTCCATTGTAGGCTTTATGTCCCATATCACTAAGAGACCTGTCCAGGAATTAGCAGCATCAGGTATAGTACTGTATAGACTTGTTTAGTGCTGTGTGTATCCTCCAAGGCACGAGTCTGAAAATAATTATCTTGTTCTACTATACAGTGGAGGAGGAAGTACTTAGATCTTTTACTTATGTCAAAGTACTAATGCCACTCTGTAAAAGACTGCATTACAAGTAATAGTCTAACCTTACCTAAGTATTATCATCAGGAAAATGTATTAAAAGTATCAAAAGTACCTTCACTATTTGATAAAGGAAAGTTCAAACAACCAAAGAGCTAATAGAACAATGAGAAGAAAACTGAATCTGTCAACAAAAAAAAAGCCTATTAAGTATGCATGATTGTTAAAAATTGCATAAAAAGTTTTAAAAAAATATTAGTGAAACTTACTCATCAATACTCATAGGAAATAATCTGCTCAAAATTCAACCAAATCACTTGTTTTACATAAGACTCCATAAAATATGTCATTTAGTCAGGGCTCGCCAGTTTACTCAATGATAGAAAAGGGGTCCGTTAAGGAAAAGGGTGGGAAACCACTGCTCTACCTCAATTGATTAATCTATGTATTGTTTGTAAAATGTCAGCACCAACAGCAGTAACCAGGAACTAAAGCTGTCAAATAATTGTATTGGAGTGAAAAGTTAAATATTTCTCTTTGAATAGTAGTGGAGCAGAAGTATAAAGTGGCATGAGAATACTCAAGTAAAGTACCTCAAATGTGTACTCAAGGCCCCTGCAAGGAACTTTCATTTTTTGATGTCTCTGGCGGCCCCTGTGGACAATCATGGTAGTGTTTCTACCACCTAATTTCATTGATTTGAATCCGACCCAGTGGCAGGCAGTAGGAATAACCTCATAGTCTATCTTGTAGCTGATGGTTCTCTTTGTTTATGTAGGTCATCATTACATTGAGACTCTTTCATAACTGCTTAAGTACAATACTCGTGTAAATCTACTTAGTTACTTTCCACCACCCACACTATGGGTGATGTTTTTTTTGTCTTTCTCTGTCTCGATGGTAAGATAACTCATGTTCTAACATTTTAAAGGCATATATTTATCGTGATTAGAGAAATGTTCTTAAAACTCGAGACAGGTTGTGATTTTACACTGAACAAGCTTTCTCAGACAAATTGACCTGCTTTCAGTCCGTCGCTGCATTGAACTTCTGAGGACCCCCATGAGATTTATTTGCTGTCTCTCTTGTTGCCATGAAGTGTTTGAGAATTGTCACTAAACACAGAGGGAATTTTGCTCCATTAGTGCCTGTACCAGGGCAGTCTGGTGTAATTTGGCAATTTTTATTATGCAGTTGGGAACCGATTCTCAGGCTCCTTTTCCTTGAGTAGAGACTTGGGGAAATCAGTACTGCCACAAAATGATGTCTCTTTTGTGTGACATTTAGGTCCAGGTCTGGCGTTTTTAGCTTATCCTCAGGCTGTCACTCAGCTACCCATGTCCTCTCTGTGGGCCATCCTCTTCTTCTCCATGCTCATGATGCTGGGCCTGGACAGTCAGGTACAAACAACACACACTTTACCTGTTGCTGAACTATTCATTATTTATTAGTGGAGTGCTCTTTTAATAACAAACTCCAGTACATTCTGCCCCATGTCTCTTAATAATGTACATGTATTAGTTCTGCACAGTGGAAGGCTTCATCACAGCTCTGATGGATGAATATCCCCTGCTGCTGAGGAAGAGAAAGAAGATCTTCATCCTCATTGTCTGCTTCATCTCCTTCATTATCGGCTTCTCCAACATCACACAGGTTCACTGGAGTTGTGCACATGTGGATTCTCTAATATAACAAACATTCAGAAGATCGGTTTTTACATTGTACTGCAGGATGTGAGCGTGTATGACTTATAATAAGTATTCAAAGAAGTTGGTTGTCAACACTAGGGAATAGAGCCCCCTCCTGCATTAAACATAATGGAAAAATGATCTCACAACAACCTGCGGTGTACATTCATCATGCATATTTTATTTAATAAAGAGAGCGATGTTAATATTCAGCCTCTAAAGCAGATATGTGTGTCTGTGTGTGTGTGTTGAAATCTCCCAGGGTGGTCTGTACGTGTTCAAGTTGTTTGATTACTACTCCGCCAGTGGGATGTGCCTGCTCTTCCTCGTCTTCTTTGAAACCGTTTCCATATCCTGGTTTTATGGTAGGATACCTATTTTATGTTGTCTACGCTTAAACTAAACACAGTAGAGTAAAATCATAGCTGAAATTAGTTCTGGATAGAAAGGACTTTATTGTGCCAACTTGCCTGACGACCATGTATTTCCTATATACGCTGTGGCTGTCCAACAGGAAATTGGATTTATCTGTTTCACTTTCTGTTATAAGACCCTCTGTCCAATCAGCTTCCCCTGTCATTCACCCCATAAGGCTTTGTTCTTGTAGTCATTATCTCCATACTAACGCACACATGTTTCTTCTTTGTCCTCCTCTCTTTATGCCACAGGAGCTGAGAGGTTTTACAAGAACATTGAGGAAATGATCGGGTATAGGCCATGTGGCTGGTGGAAGCTCTGTTGGAAGTTCTTCACTCCGTTGATCTGCCTGGTAGGCGGGGAGGGATTATCGATTTAACCCCCTTGATATGCAATTTTTTTTCTAAGTCGAACTCTAACATGTGCTTCCTTCTCCCTCGCGGAGATCTATGGACCCATCAAGCTACAGCAAGTGCCGATAGGTAGAGAATTGATGACATTGCTCAGCTGGTTCCCCTCTGTGGTGATTTGTACTTCAGGCCCTCGGGGGAAATCATGGCAAAGTCTTTATCTTCACTACATAGAGATAAAGGAAGTGTACTGTTAAAGGAAGCTATATAAGTGAATGAACGAATACAAATGAATGGTGTTCTACCAGCTTATTCCCAGTAAGCACTGATTTGATGATTTGTGGGTAGGTCAAAAAACATCTAAATGAATAGGTTAAAACCGGGCTAAATTTGGTTGAAAAGTGAATTTAGCCCGGTTTTAACAGTTTTTTTTTGGTCCACCACTAGACTGAAATGTCTAAATGACTGTAGGATGAATTGCCATAAAAGTTAGTTTACAAATGTATCCTCCCAACATCAGGTTTTAAATTATTCAGCATGGTTTCAGAGCAAAAACCCTGACTTTTGTGTTTCAGTCCTTACCAAATGTTAGCTGTAAGCACGCTAACACACGAAACTGAGATGGTGAACATGGTAAATATGAACATGCTCACCTAAACATCAGCATGTTAGCACTGGTATTGTGAGCATTGTTAGCATTTAGCTTAAAGCTTTTTAAGCTTTTTTTTAGTGCTCGCTGATCTCATTTGAGATTAAATTGACTATAACATAATAACATAAATGTATATTGTAGGGGGTGTTTACCTTCAGTGCCATCGAGATGACCCCTCTGACCTTGGGGAAGTATGTGTACCCGCTTTGGGGCCAAGTGATTGGCTGGTTCATGGCCTTGTCTTCCATGTTACTGATCCCAGGCTATGTCATCTACATGTTCTGCACCAGCAAAGGCAGCATCAAACAGGTACAAACCTCTTACAAGCCTCTCTGTTTTCTGCATGTTTTTTAATGTATTTTAATTCCCTGCAGTCAAAGAGAAAAGATACTGTTATGCGGAACTGGTGCAAGGAGGGGAAAACGGAAAGTAGGCTGCACAAAATAAATACTAGGCCACAGGCAATAGTTGAGAGATACAAAGCAAATTTTTATGTTATTTGCATGTACATTTTGGTCCAGCTTCCACATCTGGATTCACCTTAAAGAATCACTCTTAGGCATTTAATCTGGCACTGATGTAGCTCTTTTTTACTTGAACAGCGTTGGCGGAAGATGACAACTGCCCTGGAGGATGAAAAGCCATCGGGGCATGAAGAATTTACACACACAGGGAGCGTGGGCGAAGCTCCTGTCTAGCCAGGATTGTTCAGGTCGAGATATCTGCCATTTTCCTCCGTCTGCCAGGACTTAACTGTAGTCAACATCGAAATTTGACAAGTGGGCAGATGGAGTCTTGTACAGTACTTTACGATTATGTTTTCCTCCATCTTAAATTGTGCTGTTACATCAGGTGAATAAAGGAAGAAGATGAGGGGGCACTTTTGAAATTTAGAGGATAGAAGATTTCCTTTTGCAGTAAAAGTGTGAGCTCTGATAGCAAACTGAATGCTATAGCTCAGCATTGAACCTGTGTACATATACCACAAATATACCATTTAATGTTGTAATTTTCTCTGCTACTCAACAAAATCAGCGTCTTTGATTATAAGCCCACAAATGTTGTTGTACAGAAGCATTAAAAAACTGTGATGCATCAAAAATTATTTGTGGTAATATAAGTGGTAGCTTAAAGAACCTGTAGGCCCTACAGTTATATTTGCTGCCTTTGTTGATCCAGGTCGACAAAAATCAAAACAAAAAGAAAACATTTGTATCTATTAATGTGATGAAGTTGTACATCATAGACAATTACTCAAATAACACAGCTTTGAGATAAGTTTTAAATGATGTTGTATAATCTTAAATATTAGCCATTCATGGCAGATTGTTTGATTAAAATCTTAGAAAACTGTAAATATAATTCTGCCACTATATTAAGTATGTTGTGTTGTGTGTATTTTTTTTAAAGGGTTGTTTCCTACTGTGGATTACGACAGAGTGCCATAAAAAGGCTCTGTTTTGTCAGTTTGGGGACTACATCAAATGAAATGAGTATGAATGATTTGCCTCGTATTTACTCCACTTTTTCATGTCATTAAAAACAAAATAAACTGCTCCCGGTAACTCCTTTCCTGTCGGCATATTGCAGCATCTAATAGTGTTGTGCTTGGTAGCTTTTTCATTGCTAATTACTTATTACGCCCCTAAAGTTGATACGAGAGTATTTCACTGAAGAGTACTTATTGAAAAAGACCAGAAAATGTATTATCATTACTGAAAAGTGGTCCATTACACAACTGAGATGGTGAGGAAAATGATGTGATGCATTAAGCGTTTGGTAAAAGGTAGTCTTGTTGGGATAAACCCTGAAGCTTGTGGTCTGACTCCGCTGTAGCGCTTCGATCACTATTCACAGTTGGCGATGTGTTCGGAGCAGCACTCTTTGCAACATCGACCTACATAAAGCTCTCCACAGAGCTAAGTGATGAAATATTGAATATGATCATTTATCACCATGGGGAAAGCTACAGGAGTAAAGCCAAAGTTGTGAGGGGAATTATCCCTTGAACCTGCAAGCCACACTTTTTTGGCCACTTGAGGGAAACAGAAACCAGCGGTGAACAAAACAGACATATCCTTTTTAAAGTTGGCTATTAACACACCCAGCAAACACAGTTAATTAATGCTTATGTTGGTCTGACAAGAGCAGATAAGGATTTACCAAAACATTAAAGCTGTGTTCCAGAAAACCAAAACAATGAGCTGAAAGACACTAAAACAGTTCATAGAGCTGTGGTGTGATAATTCCCCTTTCACATAAAAGTAATCATGCAATCCTTTGTTAATGAAAATGTACTATTTTTCAATATGTTGGCTGTACTTTTTTAGAACATTAATTATTTGGTTTGTAGTATATACTGTAAATACTGATTAAACTTCCTGCTATCAAATTAAAATATTAGCTTTGTGGTGTAATGCATGGTAAAATGTGTGTGCAGTGTGTAACATGACATTTCAAAATGAACAAAACTCCCCAGGAATTCCAGACTGATGGTGGCGTTTGAGGAATTTTGAAGAATCAAACTATTAAATCCAAGGAACCAAATCAAACCACTGTGGTGAATAGATTTAAATCATCTTTAATAGCATGTTGATATACTGCAAAGACAGGTAGAGAGGGATTCAAAGCCAACTGAGGGAGGTGATGATTCATATCTGTTACACTCAGTTTCCGCCTGTCTTAACCTAAATATGTCCACTTTTTGTAAATATTGTCTTTTTTAAACTAGTATGAGCAAACACAGTGTTGAAGAGCCAGACAAAAGATCCACATGTCATTCATGAAGCAGTGCACTGGTATGGCAGAGCCCTTTTTTTTCAGTTTCTTTAGGAAAGTTAGCCACTACTGCGCTTCTGTATCATATGCTGCACTCCCAAAAATGCTACATTTATTTCCTTTCAAATATAAACTCAGTCTCAGCCTCATATTCGTGTTTATTGCACACACAGCATGTCTATCTCCCAAAATGCTTTAACACATTGTCAAGTAGCAAAGAACTGTGCAACCATAAACAAAGGGTAGTTAAAGACAGGGAAGCAAAAATGGCCACTGTTTGGCCTCAAATTTACCACTGTAAATCAATTTTCTGTTTGAAGGGGTGTTTGCTGTTATAAATGTTTTTTTTTTTTTTTTTTTCAATTCCACCAAACTCTCTTGTGCAGCATAACAACAAAAAAAAACTTTCATCTTCATCTCCCACTTGTGTGCTCACAGCAAATTCAGTCATGCACAAAAAATACTTTTGGGAATCAGAGTTCAATAGGCCTCCAAACTGATGCCATGCATGAGAAAAGAATCGCTTTATATCTGAATGTTTTGATTTTAAATAAATTAGCAATCATACAGTCATCATCCATCAATGCAAATGCAGAGCTTATGCTATATGCTAAAATGTATCGCCTTCAAAAGTTTGTTTATAACCAGTAAAAAATATTGAAATTGCCATAATTGCTCTTCGTTCGTTTTCTAAAGCACTAATTCCTCTCATTGTGTTATAAAATAATAACAAAAGAGAGGTTTTGTTTACGGGAAAGTTATGATGCTACTGTTAGGTCACACACACGCACACACACACACACACACACACATTTATCACCTCTGCCAGAACAACAGACTGCTTTCTTTCTGCAACCTCTGTCTTTCCACTGGGTAAAGTCGGGGAGCGGAAAAGGACAGAAAGATGAGATAGAGACCTCCCTGCAGTGGCTCTGCGATTATAAATCAACAAATCAGACAGATGGGGGTCAGATGGGAGCAGAGTTAACCGAACATCCATTTCACAGTACCTGCTGGGGCTTATGTTTAAAAGATAGACGCATTCAGGCTGACCTATTTCAGAATGAAGGACGCGTGACAGGGCAATAGCATTTTGAAGAGGCTAAAGGTAGTTTGCTTGTCCTTTCCGACATTGCTTGAATGTGGTATTTACATTCTGGGCTGGGGCTGAAAGGGAAAGAGATCAGATAATGCATTCTTTTTGTCCCATTCTTATTTAAAGCAGGCTTGCCAACAGCACAAACAATACCATTAATGCCAGCATTTGCAATATAAGCTGTGTGTGTGCCTCTGTAGTTTTTGCCTTTTTTGAAAATGTCAGACCGAAAGGTTAGAAGGGGAGAGAAAAACAGTCACGAAGAGCTGAAAACCAAACCTGGGAGTTGTACCGACACAAAGAGACGGTGTCTGGATGTGTGTTAGCGGGTGGACTCGGTCCTGCATTCATCCACCAACGGGGGGGGGACACACACACAAAGGTGGAATATGCTTTACGCAAATTAAAATAAACATAGATCTTGACATTTAACAGTTTGTAGCAGAAGCATCCTCATGGAAATTTATGGCGATTTCCTGGAAATGTGAAGAAGCATTTCATAAACAGATGACAGCACAGCGTGTTGCACATAATATTACATGTGAATGCTGAATCGTTTTTTTTTTTAGAAAAGTCCAAAAGCAGTTTCAGCCTTAAACAATTTCCAAAATATGAAAAACTTTTCCTCCATCAGCAGATAAATGTGGCGAGAAGTCCCGGGAAGCGCTAACAATATTAAATATGAAGACAAACAATCAACAGGACCATCCCGGGCTGACTTTTTGGTATGGCAGCAATCCATGTGATTGGTTGCCTTTTTGTTTCCTGTCATCGTTCGCTGTAGAATGATCTATGGAGAGTGACAATTGAGCGAGAGTGTTTTCGGATGATAGAGAGCCACAACACAACAGAGGAGCGCGTAACAAACACAGCTTATCGGAGGATGTTGTTTTTTTTTTTTTTTTTTAATCCAGGGGAGCAGAGAAGAAGAGAGAAGGCTCTCCATCACATAAATAAATCAGCAACAGCGCAAACTAGGAGATAGGTTTTTTGTGTAATATCAGTTTTGTTACTCTTTTTTTTGTTCTGCTCCTTGAGGGAGAAGCGTGAAAGGACTATTTTCTCAAAACAAAAAGGAGGGAGGGTTTTTTTTTCTCTCTTTTCTTCTAGCCCTAGCATTTTAGTCAAGTGCAAAGAAGTCAGTGTTTTTAGTGGAAGCGTATGTATTTTGGCACATGTTTTCAGTTAAGTGTCAACTATGCACGCACGCGCACATACAGCACAGTAGGCATGAGGTTTGGGGATGAGAAAAGCGAAACAGAAGCAGGAGGTCCTTGGAGTGTGACCGTCCATCACAATCCCCCCAAAAAAGTTTGAGGGATTCACATATTTCTGTTGTTGTTGTTGTTGGTGAATACTGGAACTACAAGGGATCCATCCAGAAACTGAACATCTGTTTTCTCTAGCAAGAATTAAAACTGACAAAAAGTTATAGAAATTTGTTAAAACTACATAATATTTCAAAATACATGTGGAATCAAGTAAAACTTTATATATGCACTTTATTTCTCCGTATCTCTTTTTAAAACCTTGATTTTTCTTTTCGTTTATTTTTTTTCCTTAAATATATGCATATAAGTGAGATTTTATTTTTTCATTATAGCTCTTTCATCTGTATGTATATATGTACATTATGTACTTTTAAATAGGTAGAGGAGGGGGTAGGGTTTGTGTGGAAGTGTGTGTTTCGGGGAAAGAATACTAATTGATTTATTTACACCATGCTCCGAGAGCCACTTGGGGTCCGGTGTAGACTGAGGCGGGGGTCGGGTGGTATATACTGATGCGGGTGGTTGTAAGGCGGAGGTGGAGGAGGCAGCGGGGGCTGGTGGCCATCGTTGCCATGGGAGCCGTCCGGCGAGCGGACCGGGGTGGACATGGCCGACTGACTGAGCTGGTGGCGGCTGTGGTGGTGATGCTGGTAGTGGTGGTGTGTGGGCGTTTGACTGAGGAAGGCCTCCATGCGTCCGTGGCCGCTGTTGTCGAGCATGATGACCTTGACGATCTGCTGACACTGGATGAGTGTCTCGGGCCGCAGATCAGCCATGCTGACAGCGGGCTGGTGGTGCTGCTGGAGGTGGAGGTGGTGGGCAGGGGTGCTTGCCGCTGACTGCAGCTGCGGGTGCTGAGGTGGAGGCGCCGGCCCCTGGGTTAGCCCCTGGGGCCCCTGCTGGAAAAGCAGCTCCCCCCGGTGGTTAAGAAGGGCCACGCTCTCGGGACTCCGAGCCGTGCTGCTGCTGAGCTGGTACGTCTGAAGCCTGTTGTGAATTGACACCTAGTTTAGAAAACAGCCAAGAGAACAGCATCAAATGTTATAAAACTGGTTCCTCCTCTACAATCCGTCAAGCCCTCTTTTTGTTTTTTTTTGGGGGGGGTGGGGTGGTGAACGCACAGCACACACACACACAGGGCATGCGTGGGGGCTTAGGTGTTAGGGGTCGGTGGAGGTGTTAAATCACCGTGACTACTGCACTCTCCCCTCCCTCCACCCCCACAGGTACTGGGAACAGTGTAGATTGGATGCTGGGAACACCAGTGTGTGACTGGGGTCAGGAGGAGGACAGTGGTGGGGATATGGGGATAAGAAATTTGGTGCGACGCTAACAGAAGGGGCCCGGTGGTTCCAAAGGGGACACTGAGGGCCCCTGTGTCTCCCTTCCAAACCACTGTGTGGCGCTATGGGGACATCGGACACGAGGAGATTTGGGGGGGGGGTAACCAGAACATAGACGGAGGTCATACGAAGAAGAGGGAGAGGTGGAAGAAGAGGAGGAGAGGAGGTGAGCAGACTGACAACCACAGACGTCCACAGGCAACACTCATCAGAATGCAAACCTCCATTATGTCACATTTATATTGTCACACTTTTTATTTCCTGTTGACCTGCTCTCAGAGCTGTTTTTCTGTTACCTCTGTTTCCTTTATTGTATATCTCTAAGAAACCTGTTTCCATGTCACCTTACACTACGCTTCTCTGAAAAGCATACACCTGAACAAAAATATAGGGGAGCCTCATACAAAATAATGGAATGAGCACAATCTGAGTATGCAACCACAGCACATGGCAGGCACGCAGTTAACACATTTGTCATGTGTTTGTTACCTTAAAGAAAGTTAGGTTAAATTATTGGTGTATATAACTAAATGTATCCAAACTTATGACTTTTGCTTTTTGGTTTTACCCTACATCATGTTTTTGTGTTAGAAAACAACAGCCTTACTTTTCATGGAGCTCATATTTGGATTTTAACACATTGTTTTATCCTGCTATTAGGTTCTTTCAGGTAGCTAACTTACCCTACATCTTCGTTTTAAATAAACTTTTAATCTACTGTAAGTGTCAATCCGAATAGTGTTTCTCACCAAACCTCTTCAAAATGGCATCTGTGGCCATAAGGTCAACAGTAATTCACCTGCAGTATAATAGACCTTTAATGTAAAGTATCTGAGGCAAGAAAGGGCTTGCAGCAGTGTTCATTCTCTTACAGGAGCCTTTGTAACTCTTGTGTGAAAGAACTCCATTAACATTTGCACTATTTCTCCTTGACGACTTAGCACATATACTTAAGAGTACATTATCAATGAGCTCTGAAGCACTTTAGATAAAGAGTGAAGGATTTCTTTGACTTCCTGGTGTCTTTCAAAAGTTGGATTTCTTCAGTATGAAGAATAAGCTGTTATAAAATGTCCTTCAATGTAAAATGTTGACTGTTACATTGGGTAAGGACAGGTTGGGTTGTTTGGTTGCTGAAATTCAGCACTACATGATCCCTTCTGAATAAAGACATTACTGAAATACCCATATATACACTTAATACTCCCACTTTGTCTGAAATCACTCCCTAGTTACTATATAGTGTCCAAATAACACATATAGTGCACTATACTGTATGGGGAGTGATTTCCAACACAGCTCTCAGTAAGTTAATGCATCTAGCCAATAAAAAGATTTAGCACATATTACAACTTTCATAATTTTTACATTTCTGTTCTATAAAGTTTTAATTAGAGAGATTCTGAGATGCTGGTAAGTGGATTTTTAAACTATAGACAGGGCTGGGATACCGTTTTTCCCTCTAGCTCCATACTTGACAGACAGACTGGTGAGTGGTGAGTTTATTGATGTTCACGTCTAACTCTCGGCAAGAAGGCGAATAATCCTATTTCCCCAAACTACTCCTTTAAGCTGACCGTCTCTGAATGTGAATCAGGTGGTATATTTGTAGGAGACATACCAATGAAAATCAAGTTTGTTTTTCTTTGTTTACAGCTGACTGAGATTATCATATGCATCAACTAAAGGAACGATCATTGACAATTTTTTTATTGATTTAGGGGTTTTAATTCACTTTTAAGCACTTTGTCCTTTTAAGCTTCTAAAAATGATCTGAATAAAAGAGTCAATGACTGAAACAGCCTCTGTTTGCCTTTCCTTTATGTGATGATGGCTTTCTTTGTCTTTGGTTTCGGCGTTTGCAAAAACAAAAGCCCCACCACACTTCTGTTCAAACATATGCTCCACCATGTCACTGCCACTGCTGACTTCACAGTCCATTACCGCGACTGTCTTCAAGGGCGTCGTTTCAAAAAATAGTGACACGAAAATTACACCCCTGACTATCTTTAGCCGCTCTGAAACTTCAGCACAGATTTGTGTATTGTTACTGCTCTGAGGGAGACGGTTCAAATCTCAACACCTTCCTTATCAAATTCTGATTATAAGTCGTGGGATTCTGCCATCCCCATGCCTCTAGTATGAGCAAGATTGTCTGGGTGACCCTTCTGGTTTCCAAGATAAATGTGTTTCGACAGCTAACGGCTCCCCACCAGCCGCTGACATTTACCGCAGGCTGCACGGTAGAGGGGAAGACGGCTGGTGAAGGTAGCTCAGACAACCATGAAGACTGACCTGATCATAGCTCCCTATTATCAGAACCCAAAGGCTATTAAGCGCGAGAGAGAGCTTGTATGCATAAAATGAGCAGATACTCCATTGCGTAATAAAAAAAAGCCATTTCATTTTAATGTCTTTAAATGTCTCTTGAGCAGAAATGAGTGCGTGTTTGCTCCGCTGTAATTGTTGTCGTTCTACAGGCATTTACAGCTTTGAAAATGAAACAGCTCTGAAGCCTTTCAGTTTGATGTATATGTAATTACTTCTGCTCTAACCAGCACCTGAGTAAAGATTTACAGCCTAACACAGTGTACCAGTGAGCTGTGAGGAATCAAACAGCCACTGAATGTCAAATTGACCCTGCGTATTTGGCTTTTCGCTCCAGCCCTCAACTCCGCTGCCACGGAACAGACTAGGAAAGGTCATCTGATGCCTCTAGGATGGTAATTGCAAAGCCCCATGGGTACTGTAGTTCAGCTTGCTCTCTTGCTTGCACGAAATGTTCGCACGAGAAGTTTCCCCCGAAGGTCCCGGAAGGGGTGAGGAGGTGACGACTCCAGGTCAAATGAGCGTTAAATTTATCCGCCTGCATGTTACTGTGTTAATTAAGGTCTCTGTGCTGAATTTGGGTACGTACACACACACACACACACACACACACACACACACACACACAGTGCGCACATGTCCCCAGCTACTTTTAGCAACAGCTGCTTTCTCTTTTTTTCCTTTAAAGGCCTTACAGGAGTCACAATTTCTGCCTTGTGACACTAATTACAACCTACTCCTTCTTAGGCTTACAAGCCACTGAGTCTGATGCGCTTTCTGTTTTGACTGCTATGACTTTATTAATTTCCCCAAACCACCGTCTTTAATTTTTGCACGCCAAAGGATTCCTTTTATCTAATATTTCGTTTGGTTGGGTTACCTCACATGCCCGCAGCACTTTACCCAGCAGCACTCGTTCTCTCATCCACTCTTCACCCACTCCTGCTTGACGCCTCTAGCCCTAAAGATATGACTAGTCCTACATCCTCATCCTACAATAGTTTGACAATGACACACTGTATTGACTTACCTTTTTGTTTGGAAGATGGCCCTATACTAAGCACTTACCTCTACTGCATTGTGTCCACTTCTTTCATCTATCTCCTGGTTTCCTGGACAGAGGTCATGGGATGGGACAGAGGGATGGGAAAAGAGACAAAAGTGGCAGCAAAATTTCTGTGTTAAACATTCATTTTATCTTCTACTACAGGTTTAGATTTTTTTATTATAAGGAATTTAAGATTTGTTAAAGTGCATTGAATATGATATGCTATTAGAGTTGCAAAGTGGGGAGGGGATGCTGGTTCCAGAAATGCAGTTTCTTCCATTCTGTATTCTTATCTATTTTTTTCCTTTCAACAATATCCTCCATATGGCTTAATATAGAAACAGAGGATTCTCCTAGATAATGAAACAATCATATAGGCTTGCCAGTATGTTAGGACCCCCAATTTCAATTATTGCAACATTGTTTCTGTGGAACATGTTTTGGCATGGCTGACGGCTCTAAATCCTACAATACCCATGAATCTCAGCTGCCATTGCCATGGAGAATCCAGTCAGAGGTGTATATCAAAACGGTAGAGAACCAAAGCTGAGCCCAGAATTAAGTGAATGGATTTCTTTAACAGTTTTCTCAACACTGTAATCTTTAGTTTCCGCTAGCCATTAGCGTCACACATTACAGAAATTGAGGCTCAGTGATTGGATGTTTCAAGCTTGTGCCTCCTATTTTTTATGAAAGAACTTGAATGCAGATGTTGATATTTTGGACTGCGTCATAGAAAATCTCCAGCTGTGAATCACATAATATTGTCTATTGGAAAAATTAAAGGGTCCTTCACTTCTGGAACGAGCATAGGTCCTTCCACTTTGCAACTCTATGCAGATTCAATCAAAATAATTACAAGTAAAAGTATATTTAACATATTATTTCTAGTTTACAAGGGGAAGTTTTTTTTTATATAGGATGAATAGATGGTTAGATATGCATTTATTGCCTTTCAGAAACCAACATTAGCACTTCTGTCCCACTAGCTTCCTACCTACAGTAGAGCGCTAAGATAGCTTTAGTTCAATACATATAGATCATTACCATTATTTTGTCAGGTTATAGGGGTTCAGAGATATCATAATTTAGTTTATTAGTGGCTGTTCTGCTCTCTATTAGTTACTCTTCAGCAAACCTAGCCAAACTCCTTACCCCAAATAGCTTTATGCAACTATGCCAAGCTTATCAGTGAGTCTTCATCAAGGCCTTCTCTTGTAACATTGAAAATCCGAACAATAAAGCATAAATCTAACCTCTAATGCTAAGCATCCAAACAGATCTGACCTCCTTTTTTTTTTTTAAATATAGGCCTACAATTTCTTCTGTTTTTCAATTTATAAAAACAGCAGTAGTTCAACTTTATTTTTACATCGGGTAAATTAATGCAATTGAGTGCAAGGTCTCTGCAGTGGGTTTTGAAATTAAAAGGCGACAGTGCACACACATTCCACACACACACACACACACACACACACACACACACACACACACACCTGATGGGGAGCCCTGTTTGCCACGCAGCTCTAGCTGTGTGCCGTTGTTTTTTACAGAGTGAGTCTTGGCTCCCTGCTGCTTTTCCAGCTCCCCTGAAGAGAACAGAAGACAAAAATGATCATCATCATAATCACCATGACAGAAAGCAAAATAGGTAGACACAGGTAGAGGTAGGTAGCTTATTTCTACTTTACTTTATTATACACACACATCCGCATTCTCTTATTGCCTTCCCCTCCCACTCTCTTCTCTAAGCTCAAAACACGACTCTCCATCTCACTAATTAAACTTCACACTTGATGGTAATTGCATGTCATTTCCAATCATGATGACTAAATGTTGTTTTGTCTCTAACACTGCACTGCATCCTAATTCTGATGCTGAACCGCAAAACTGCCAGGTGAGACCTTAAGGGTGCAGAACACAATGTCCTCCGATTCATTTTGGTGCAAGTGTGACAAAAATCTGACAAAATAAACAGAAAATGTCCTGCTTTGTAGTTTATCTCCTCGAAAAGGGGTCAGATTAAGCTATAAATAGACAGCAGTGACACTTACTTTCACCAGTTCCTAAAAATTTCCCATGAATTAATTTAGAAGTTTCCTGAAAATAACTACGTATTTTGGGAATAATTCAAGGGAAAATAGAGACAGTGTTTTACTGGTACATTTCTAATTAATTGGTAGTGTAACCTACAGTACAGACTTTTAGTCAGTGCCTAGCAGGTCATCTGAACAGGCCAAAATGTGAACGTTGTCCTATAATTAGCAGTTTTCACATTTAATATGTACTATTTTGCACTTAAAATGAGAAATTGACCTAACTTACTGTTATGTTACTACAGTGCAGGCATATTGACTGTAGAGAAGAAATACTGAACAGTAGCTGTGAAATGAGTGTTTTTTTTTTTAAGTTTAGTGTGAGAGTAGGAGTGAATTAAAATGATCAATTCAAATATGAATTTCCTTCATTAAAACTTGCAGGGGAAAAAAATGCACCTCCAGATAAACAAACACAGGTTTCTCCTTCCTATCTCAAAGAGGGAAAGCCCAAACATAAGTGAGCCAACCGCAGGCATATATTTACTAATGTGCCAACAATATAAAGCACTTAGAGGAGAAAAGAAAATGTGGTGTTTGACAATCATTCTTGCTCCAAGTTATGTTCCTGTATTATATCTTGAGAGAAAGTGTGTGCTTGCTGTATTGTCTTTGTATGTTTTCTTATTTGTGTGAGTGAGTTGGCTTATGTGAGTTTTTGTATGCAGTAGCTGTCTCTAGCTCCATTTTAGAGTGAGAAATAACTTCCTTCTGTCAACCTCTGCCTGTCTCCATATGTTGTTGCCTGCTCTCCCCGGGCTGCTGGCCCTCCCTCTCTGTGAAGGGTAAGGCAGTTGCGTCAAATCCCAGCAGGGAGGCTCTCTTTGATGCCCACTGGCAGGAGCCAGGCACGGGATACTCAGGTTTTTCCATGTGTGTCTAAGTATGTGGATGTCTTATTGTCTGGAGAATTTCATATGCACACACACCCAAACAACTCTGATGCCTAGCTGCCTTTCGAAAAACTGGCCTCTTTTCACCTCCAATTTACTGCCCTCCTGCAGCCTGTTTCAGCTGCAGTGCACCAAAGGAAACAAAATGCAAAAGTCGTTCTGCACCTACACAAATGGGGACGCTGACTACAAGTTAGCAAATAATAAAAACAAAGGATGGTTTCTGACTCATCTGTACTATCGGAGGACCTATTGATTCACACATTGAGTATCTAAGAATCCACTGTAGTCTCTCACTCCCCAAAATTTGAGATTATTGATTTAGTCCACAATGTAATTGGCTGTTGACCCTTCTTTTGTTCTTGGGTGCATTGCCACAGGAGGAATACACACAAGCATGATGGACAACACAAATATACTGTACATGCATTTAGCCCCAATAGAGAATAGGTTTGACATCATGATGTAATGAATTGCCCATATGTATTTTGGTAGCCTCCAGCCACAGAATCAGCCTTATAATTATAAATATGTCTGCTTTCTTAAGTAGTACTACGGTGTATGGAAGGTCCTAGAGGACATGGGCAAGTATGGGCACAAAAACGTGTGCAATAAGCAATGCTGGGAACAACCAACCCCCCCCGACTGTGTTGTCAAGGGAGAAATCTCATAAGGCGAGATACTCACACTCGATGCGTATCTGCTCCATCTCCGACACCTCTGCAATTGATTCCTTCAGGTCTTCTATAAACTTGAGCAGCTCCTCAGCACTTTGGGCACAGAAGTTAAGTACCTGCTTCTTGTCTGAGCCAAAAGGTGAGAGGATGGTGATGCCATGAGGGTAGTCTGGGGAGGACAATTAGTTGTTGAGACAAAAAGTAATGAGTTAAATCACAAGAAGTGCAGGCGAGAGATTTGTGATTGTGAGGTGTGAAAATGGCTCAAAATGTAGATTTGTAAAGTCAATTTGTGGAGTCTTTTTGGAGATATTCTCATGGACACAATAAACTTAGCGAGGTATTTCAAATATGCTAGGAATTCTTCATGCAGTGTGGACTGGAGGGGCTGGTATAATTACATTTTAAAAAATGCAAAAACATGATTAATGTGAGACTGCTATCTGTTTTTAAACATTTTCTATGTGACCAACCGAGTCCAAGATGATGAATTTCTGCCATCATGAATATAGACAAAAAGTAGTATAGCATAATGATAGCAATAAAAATTTAAAATGAAACCTATTTCTGTACTTTTCCCTGTTTCCTACCAGCCCAAAGCATTGTTTGTTATATGGTGGTGTATGTTTTTCATGCCTGCTGACTGCAGTGAAAACATTCTGACTTACATTCATTTTCAAACAGGTGAAACTGCATGCCGAGTAGGCCCATGGCTTTGCAGAAAGTGTAGGCTGCAGAACTCTTCTTCTTTGGACAAAGCTTCAAGATCTGCAGACAACGGGAAAACGTTCAAAAAAACAGACTTCTAGTAACAATTCTGAATGACACGAGAACCCATTAAATTAGTTTGTTCAGTGTTCTGGGCACTTCTGAAATCTTTTTGACTGTCACTGAGATTTCCATATCACAGAGCACCTCAAAGATGGCTTAGAAAGAACAAACAGTTTGATAGTTTAAAGTACATTTAAAGAGCAGATAGAGTCAATATTCATGTACACTACAACCTTCAAAGTGTTTTAAGATTGAGCTAGTGCTCTAATTTGTATGAAAAACAACACCTTGGCAAGCTTAAATCAGGATGTATTAAAGATGGTATGCTTTTTTCATTGAATGACCTTCCAGATAGAGAAAGATGAGGCAAATCTGTTTTTGCAGCACTACTGTGGGGCATAATTTACCAGGCGAGCCGTATTAAACCAATACATCACATTGGCACTTTAAATACTTCTCGACATGTTCAGGCTGCTAGAACAGGGGGCCAAATTTCAAAAGAGAAGTCCCCATCACTTTAATTTTGTACAAAAAAAATTTCAAAGACAATTTCTGCCCTGCTTTCAAAGCTGTCAGGGGAAAACATCTCACTGGAATATATCGCACAGCTAACTTTTAGTGCCAAATGAACAGAATTCCACTGTGATGTTGGGGGATAACTCCTTTTGCCTCTTTCTTCAAAATCTGCCTTTTAACCTCCTTTTCCTGCAGCTACCAATTACTTTTTTGCTTTAGCAGAAAGAGGAGGAGGGGGGGAAATGGCCATACTGCTTTTCTTTTTCTGTGTTCTGTTGGAATGAGATCAACATTTGACATAATTATGAGAGTAGTTAAACACTTTAGATAGATATGTGGCTTCTAATGAGCACATCAATTACGCCAAACATTAAACCTTTGATAATACTCTAATCTACACGACTTTGGACCAAATGCACAACTTATCTGCGCTGTGGCGCCAGTGAAACACAACTTTATTACTGGCCCTTAAAGCTGCACTACAGGGAACCGATCTTTGCTTATGAGTGCACTGCTACACTGCTTTTGCTACTATCTATTATTAAAAGAAATGGCCGGAGAGTCCTGAGTTATGAAACAACATAAAAGAAGAGAGGGAGCTCCTTACAGGCGAAGTAGGTGATGGTGCATTGCAGCTGTCACAAAAAAATAAGCAGCTTTAAATCTTCGACTGTGTGCAGCAGAAACAAACATTTTAGGGCTAGTTTAAAAGAAACTGTACACATGTAAACAACATTTATTTTTTTCCCGTTTACTTACCACAATGAGATCATTGAAAAGGAAGACTTCTCTCTGGTGTGCTGCCTGTTTTTGGGCCTTGTTGACGTCTGTGACCTCAAAAAGTCGACTACAACACACCAGCCTTCTGTGAGGGACAGAAAGAACCTGCAGAGAAAGGCAGAAACAGACATCCAGGTAAAAAGGAGAGCTTCAATCACTCAGATTAGGTGACTGAGAGGCTTTAAAACCATTCAAAATGAAGAGACAGATGAGATGAAGAGAAACTGAGACTGAATACAAATGACTTTTGGCTGGAGTTCCACACATTATTCATTGGGGTTAAAAGCTAAGACTGGAGTATAAAGGAAAAACCCATTAAATACAGTATACTGAGATAAATTAGTGACATGAAGACTGACCTAAGACATTAATTAGAGCAACAGATAAGACTGTGTTGTGTCAAGGTTATCTGAATATTTTACTGTGTTCCCCTGAGGAGAACATGGGAATAACTGCAGGGGTAGATTTTAGGCATTTTCTTGCCTAATCTGAAAAGCAAATGCCTGTAGTGTGTCCATTACATTTCTTCTCACTGTATCATGTGTAAGTAATAACAACAATGCAAACTCATATTTGCGGGCAGTTTTGTTTCTTTGATGGAGCGGTAGATTAAATGTGCCAAATGAACTCTTCCTATTCATAGATTAATATGAGTTTATTGACGGATTCTTAACTGTAACAGATGGGGTGTACCAGCTCTTCTGCTGAAAAGAGCTGCCTGCTGTTGCCAAAAATGCCGCACTGAGAGTGAAACAAAACAGTAAAGTTGCAGACAGGACAGCTAAACAATGAGCTGAAAGTATAAAGCTCCATAAAGCTGAGGGGAGCTGTACATTCAGGTGATTGTGGTTTAGTTATTAGCTGTGATATTAGACCAAATTGAATTAGCAAAGGTGATAACGCTACACTTGGAGGTCTAATGTAAAGTTTTCACAAAAGGCTGTGGTTGTGTCCCTTGGGGCTTGCCTTCTCCTCTTGGACTTAAGTGCTGTTCCCCCGTTTAAGCAGATTACACTACAGCAATGGCTCATGCCTTCGGAGACTGATCTAATCATGTTCTCGCCCCTTCACACTCATGTCTTTCTGACTTGTCTCATCCAGCTTTTTCTGTGTTGGATCACGGCAATCCAAACAGCAGCCAAGTGACTGTCAGTCGATGTGGAGTCGATCCCCTCTTCATGATAAAACACAAATATTCACGGCCGCTGTTCAGTTTTCTCTCTGTGCATTTCCAATTTTTATTCCCCCTGCTCCCTGTGGACTATTTGCAATGCAGTGAGTCCACACAGAGATTCTGTCTCTTGCTCTCTCATCTCTCACCACTGCAGGGTATACACTCCCGCCCAGCTGGCCACAGCCAGGCTGCTTTCTCATTACACTAATGTCAGAAACATGTAAAGACATCATTAGCTTGAAATGCCTCTTGCTTGAATAAATAAATAAATAAATAAATAATGAAATGCAGTCCTTTCATGATGGGATTGTTAAGAAGCAGTGTGACAGGAGAGTGTTTAGTCATAGATTTAACAAATGAACTGTATGCCTAAAGAAAAACGATTCTACAAATGTTTTCCATATCAAATATTTAAGCAAAATTTAACAGTGTTTGAGGAGGAATACAGTTGGATGTAAAGCTACTCCATTACATTGGAGAAGAGTTGTTATATGACTTTCATCAAGTCATCAAATATTTACACCAAGCAAACTCTATTATGGAGAACCCAATTATATTAAATACATTCTCATATGGGATACTTCCTCTTAGCATAATAGATAAGACATCTTTAAAACCCCGTTACAGGGACACTGACACCTGCTGTGATAGTATTAATAAGGAAGAAACTTTATCTAAGTCTTTATTTTTAAGGCAGATGGCGCCCATAGGACAGGAATAGTCACTTCCTGTCACAACAATCCATCATTGTTTTGGCTATGACAACACTCCTTCTGTCATCTTATGGCTACTCATCCATCACTGAGGGACACTTAAAGGCAAAAGCCAAAATTTAAAAAAAGATGGAAGCAATCCTTTTAATGTCAGAGTTCCAATGACATTCTGAAGTTAACAGAATATGACAGAGATTGAAATGTTAAACTAATTAAAAAGTGCATTTATAGTGAAATTCATTCAATGGTTGGTTCATATTGTGGATGGACAAGAGGCAGGTACTAGGGGTGTAAGAAAGTAGTGTATCACAATATTTCGTTTTTTAATTTTGTATTGATTCTCAAAAACAGCGTACTGATTTTTGTGTTTAGACCCCCAACTGCTAGATAGCAGTGTTGTAAACACTGAGAGCTATGGCGTTGGATGTTACAGGGACTAAAATACAAATGTCGATCCAGCTGTTCTGGTTGCATAAAAACAGTAAACCTTTTTAAACTCAGACTTTATGAATATGATAGTGTGTTCTTTATACTTACAGTATCATGATTTATTACAATATATTTAATCGTAACCCCATGACATCATGTCTTCTTAGTCATCTCAGTTTGGCATGTTATCATGCTAACATTTGCCATTTAGCAGTAATACAACGTGCAGTTGAGGCTGATGGGAATTACGTTAGTTTTGCAAGAACTTGTCTTTCATTTAATTTTCAAATTCCTTTTCTTAATTCTAATGTTAACATAATAAAATGCACGATGACAAAGCTAACATCCTGATACGAAGCAGGTATAAGGGTTATAATATTACTCACAAAGTAGTGGACTGAACAACATTGCCATCCCTAGATCCCCGCTGCTATAGCATGACTAAAAATCTCAAACCACTTGTGTTTCTGTGATGTTAACAAAAGAAATCAGTTTCAATGGATCTGCACGAACCAGAATGCAATTTTGAAATAATTTGTATATGTGGATGCGGTATGTTTTTAAATTTCAGAGAGTTTCACAGAGTTTCAGAGTGTACATGGAGGAAAAAACAAACATATCTACATTTAATGAATAAAGGATTGAAAGGCCTTGGTGCACTGATAAGATTCAAAATGAATTCCCTGCACTGTTTAAGCATTTTAAAAAGCCTTTCAGTGTTATGAGTGGGCACACACAGTACATTCCCACATGAATCAGAGTAATCAGTCTATTATCCAGCTAAATACATCTGCCTCTGTCTTTGACAATCTAAAACACATGAAACTTTCCACAGAAATAGTCTCACTGAATGAAAAGAATAGCAACAAGTCTCTGAGCATATGAAGTTGATTCTTAACTAAAGAAATTCTAGCGTCAGGTTCAACCACTTACATTCTGCTACTCGTGTGCACCGACTAAGCCTTTTAACCTTAAACATTTTTTAAAAAAAGAGTCTAATGATTGCAGTGGTTAATGACGTAAATAGCTGGAGTAATGACCTGAGGGTAATGATCTCGCTGCTGATGAGACATTTAATGGCTAATAAATGTACTCTGCTAACGCTACTAAGGCTAGGTGATAGTGATAAGGCCTTGAATAATGAGTGAGTGACTTGGCATGGAGCTGGAAAAAAGGGCGTGTGTGTAATCATTTGTGTTTTTGTGTGATTAATCCTGCCCCGTCTACTATTCTAGCAAGCCAAGAAGACTATAGGACTGCTGTGTTAAGAGCTGCAACGATTAATTGGAGAATTGATAAGTAAATCAAGATCAAAATAATCATGCAATTTTCAACCTGTGTTTTATATCATATTAAACTGAATATCTTTAGGTTTTGGGCTGAATAGAAAATACATTTAAAGGCATAACCTTTAACCTGAGATGGACTATTTTTTGACATTTTATAAACCATAAGATTAATGGATTGATCTTAAAAATGATATTGAAAATGGTGAACGTCCTCACAAGTATAGAGCAAACGTGTCCTCACCGTTTTCATGCCTACGATGGACTGCTCAACCTTGGAGACATAGGTGACGTGGTCTTCGTTGGAGCGCAACTCCCTCTGTTGTATTCTCTCGTAGATTCCCACCACCATGTCTCTGGGGATGTCTGCTCCGTCATCCACACCTAAGATGGGAATAGGCTAATTACACACAAATAAACACACATCACAGGGTGGCTGCTTTTAATTTTTAGCAAGCGTTCCACGTCCATTAGAAGAAATATGGAGTGACGGTTGTTCTAAGAGGCGTAGAGGAGACACGGTGTTTCTTCTGTGGCTTGAATACAGCAGGGTGTGTGTCATTGCCAAAAGAAGAAACACACACATAAGGGTGCATTTAAAAAAAAATCGCAAAAATATTACACACTTGGCTGTAATCACACATCGGTTTTGCCTTGTTATATGACATTCAAGGAGTTGGGGGGGGGATAGTCAATATTCAGAGCAAATGAGGGCTCTTTCTCTCAGTCTCCTTGTCTGTCCTTCTTTAACTTTCTGTCTTTTATTGTCTCCATTAAATAATGACAGAAGGCAGCGTGATGGGAGGTTAATTGGCAAGTAAAAGGTTAACACCCTCGCCTCACTCATAGAAGATTTTCTGTCTGGAACACAGTGCAGTTCAAGGCCGTGGCATTTCGACGCAGGTAGAGCTGCATGTCATTAGGCTGAAAGGTTGCCCTCAAGATGCTCCCCATTATATCAGCACAGCTGTACCGCGCTGTGTGGTACATTACGTTTTCAATGGGGCAGGATGTGTTTGGGGAAAATGAAGCCGCCACAAGTGATGCCGTTGACAGTGAGGCACCCTGGGACACTGCTGAGACATCGCTGCACATTATGGAGTCAGAGGGAGAGGAGGAGATGTCCAGGGGCAAATGTGTGTAAAGTGTCAGATTAATAAGTTACATCTTTTTGCTGAACGTCTCCTTTTTTTTATTCTTCTGCCAGTTCTTTCACTTTCCTTACACTCCTCATGACTTCACTGATTTTATTTTAGCCATGCTATCAGCATGACTCTTTGCATGGCAATGATGGTTGATTGGTCCACCACTTTGGTCCAGACTGAAATATCTATATATAAAGGATTGACATGAAATTTTGTACTGACGTTCGTGGTCCCCAGAAGATGAATCCTATTTACTTTTCTGATCCTCTGACTTAATCTCAAGTGCCACCAGCATGTTGACCTTTTTGGTTTTTAGTCAAATGTATAAGGCAGCTATCAGATGGATTGCTATGCCATTTGGTACAGACCATGGTTCTCAGAGGATGAATCCTAATGCTAATTGGTGGCCTTCTGATATGTATTTGAGTAACACTAGCAGGACATAATTTCAATCTATCCTAAAAAACTATTCTCTAAAGGGGTTGGCACAACTTTATTTAACAGACATTCACGGCCTCCAGATGATAAACCTCCCCCCAAAAAATTACTTTTCCTCTAGCACCACCTGCCATATTTGATATATTCATACTTTTCACGTAGCGTAGCGAATGCTAAGCTAAGATGGTCAACACGGTAAACATTATACCATTTCAATATCAGGATGTTAGCAAGCTGACATAAGCATTTAGCTCAAAGCATTGCGGGGCCCGAGTACACTCCACAGAGCTGCCAGCACGGCTGTAGACTACCCATGTTCCCCCTGTGGCCAGGCCTCTTCCTTCCCTGTCTCCTCCTGTTTTCATCATCCCAAGTGTAAATTTGGCTTGTCACAAGGCCTATTGATGAACCAGCAGCCCACCATATCGAACTTAAAAGGTGATGTGAAGTCACTGTGCAAATCAGAGCCACCCTCCCTAAAAACAAAGCATCCAGTAACTGAGACACAACAATTTTCATTTTTTTAATGAGCTGACATACTGGATTAATTTATGGTGGAAGCTGGTTTATATTATGTTGGCCCATTGTGAAATAGCTTTGACACTGACAGTCTGTTTTAATTGAGATAATGAATGTTCTATGGTTCTTCATTACAATTGGTTTCTGGCGCATAATTGCATTTCACCTCAGCCAATTATTTGAGTGAGCTATTCTTCTGTCACTGTGTATGAGAGACATGAGTGAGTATAAAAGAGGAGAGATAGAAACTGGGAGAATATAAACAAGGAAAGACAGATGAATAAACAGACAAAATAATATTCTGACTGAGACAAAACAAGATAAGAGAATGGATAGACAGAGAAAACATAGTAAACTGAGCTGAAGACAAATAGAGAGGCCAAGACAGAGTGGCATATTTTAATTTGCATAAGATGCCGAAATTGATTTTCCAACTTAATTTAATTGTGGGGAACAGTCTGGATGAATCTATTAAAGTTGTTCTGCATCGACCTGAGTGTTCCCTGATTGATTGCGCAGAGGGAGAACATAACTACGACGCGACCGTCTATCCCGCAATCCCGCTCGGCGAATGAGCATCTGTCTGCATATGGGAGACAAGAATTACAGGTGCTTTCTGTCTGTGTCACTATGAGTTGTGAATATGTAAAGCATGGTGGGCAAGGATAGAAATTCAGCCTTATTTTTATCAGCTAAATTTATGCAGGGCGGTTTGATTTGATACTGATCCAAACACTGTTGGACACTGACTCACTTTCCCTGATTTATATATGTGGGGTCAGCTGCCTTGTTTAAAGCCCCCAACAGGAGATATTTAGGAAAGGTTTCTGAGTAATATTGATTTCTTATATATATCTTTTGGCTACATTGTAGTTAAATCCAATCATTTCTCTTCTCTTCTGGAACAGCACCTCTGTACAGTTAGTCATATATTGTATATCGGCCATTGGTGAGCATTTTTTAGCATCTTGTGCCATAGAGTAAATTCAAATTGAAAGCCATACACTATAACTATGGGGTGTTTCAATTTTCCTCTTGTCTGCGGTAATTTATTCCAGTTTTTGGTGGTATTCAGTTGGCATAAACAAATATCCCAGCACTGAGGGCGTAAGATACCGTATTTGTTAACCATATTTTTCACTGTGCTACTGCAACGGCTCTATGAACAGCATTGGCAACGTCTCTGAGCAATGCAGTCTGTCTTTTTCTCCACCACTTCGGTCCAGACTGAAATATCCCATACTATTAGATGGATTGCCAAGACAAAGGAGGAAGCCTACTGACTCTGGTGAACCCCAGACTTCTTCTCTAGCGCCGAGCATTTTTTAATGACTTATCCTGACAACCACTGGATGGACAGCCATGAAATTTGGGTCGCATATTCATGTTCTTCCCTGGAATAAATGTAATAACTTTAGCCATCCTCTGACTTTTCACCTAGTGCCATCATCAGGTAAAACTTTTAATTTGTCCAATACTTTATGGCCAAATTTCTACAAATCCAACTCACATTCCTCGAGCCGACACAGTGTCACTTACCTCTTAGATTGCGAATGAAGTCCTCCAACAACATCTTGCGGTCTGGCTTGATGTTGGGACTGTACATGTCGGTGTTGAGCAGAATGATGGCGAAGGCCAGGATGAAGATGGTGTCTGGGTTGTGAAACTGCTGCACCACGTCGGGGTTACACATGCAGTAGCGCTGACTGTTGGCGTCAAGAGACAAAGAAGAGGGTTAGATTCAGAGAGAAAAAAAGGGGGAAACGAGACCAAAATTATGTAAGGAGTGATGATGCAAAGGGTGGAGGGTAAAGAAGGAAAAGAGAGGGATGAATGTTTGTAGTAATAGATTTGGGTCATGACAGAGGACACAAACATGGAGGGATGACAGAGAGGGAGGGAGAAGAAGATAGGATCTGCGAGGCCAGTTAGGGTTACAGAAAGAGAGATGAATTAGAAAAACACAAGGGACAGGTATAGGAAGGAAAAACAGATGGGAAAAAAGGCACAGATAATATGTTATCCTCCGTTAAAAGCATCCATCAACACACTGCTCATGCTCATGAATGCCTTGGCACAGGCTGAGTGTGAGTGTCGCACCGAAATAAGAGTTATGGCTTTAATTTAGCTCGTGGCCTCATCTGAAGCTGTTAGCTGCCCCTCAGCAACAATGAACCTCACAGTGACCACTCTGCCGAATCTGTGTCCCTCTGTATAAACACATTTGTCTCACTGGATTGGACGCTCACATGAAAAAAAAAGGGTCGGTTTTCTGACTTTATCTTGGGTGAGTCCGCTGAGCCCTTAGCCATAGTTAAACATTTTCCAACATTTATGTGCCTGGTTGTTGGATTTATGCAGTTTGTTTTTGTGCCGGAGAGAAGAAATATGAAGTTTGAAATGTGAAATCCCTTACGAGGCACTTTTTCTGCGAAAGAACGCGACAGAGGCCAGGCTCGGTTTGATGTAGTTCCCAAAAAAAAACCCCTAAATATAAGAGGTGGAGAATGGAAATGCCTGCGCACCGTGTGGTTATGGAAGACATGAATCTAAAAGATTTGTAGACAACCCACTTTGGGGTGTTTGCATATGTGTGTTTTAAGAAAGAAGTGCCTAGAGGAGGCAAATAAATTGTTTCTCTGTGAGGTGCATGGATACTTCCTGGTTGTGGGATGAATAATACAATAGTACAATATCTACAGTGAATGAGTAATCAGAGACAGGAATATACAGAGTGAAAGGAGAATGAGAAGGTGTGTGTGGGACCCTGTGGGCTCAGTGTTGGAGTGTATACTGTAATTGTTACTTTAATCTGTCATCATTTCCACATTGGGCCTGTAGCACCGTTTTGCAGACTCACTGAGCCACATGATTGGAAACTAATGTCTCTGTGGGACTGAGTAAAGACACAAATATTAGTATGCATACAGTAGATTCATACCTTGTCTCTCTCCACACACACACACACACACACACACACACACACACACACACACACACACACACACACACAGACTTTTAATGTGCTTTCCAATGCTGCTTAAGCTTTTCAAGACTATGAAAAGGAGAAACTAACTCTACAAGCAGTAGAAAAAATGATTTCCTGCCTTTTTTTTGCTACTCAGGCGACATTCAAGCTACCCTACCTTCTTGGTGGAGGTTACTGGGGCTATATGTTTGTGAGGAAAACTACAGACACAACTCAGGGCTGAAAAAAGTTCCTCAATTGCTATGCTTTTTCAGGTAAAAATCAAACAATTTTGCTGTTTTTAGTTAGATAATTCTCCTAAAATTCATCCTGAATCAAAGATAATGCAACAGAAGATAGTGCTCGTTGTAGTAGAAATAAAACCCTTTGTTAATATTGGAAATGGTAGTTTGAATTCTTAGTTTATTATTTAGCAGAATAGTTATCAAAGGTACTAGGAGGTTTTGGGTCACAGTAGTTATGTGGCTACTTTTTTGGTACACTACCATTAGGGAAAACATGATAACATACTTACGTATGTTATAACTTATATAAATAATACTTATATTACTTGTGTCGTATACTTGAGGACTTTGTTTGGTGAAGAACTCCTGCACTCCCAACCCCACAATTGTGTGTGTACTTCCAGCAGCAGCGCTTTCATGTGTGTTTCTCATCACGCGGTATTTGTTTTAGCATGATAATCACAGGGCTGCACAGATGCTTATCCACATCTTCGTGTCTGAAAACCGTGACTCGACAGCAACCAGTAATTATGCCCTTGTCTGTAAATCCTAATGTACTGTAGCACCATGCAGCGAAAAAGCCTCCATGTATGCTGCTTTCTGTCTAAGTGTGCGCTTACTCTGCACAGAAAGACGTGGAAAAATGAAAAATGAAAAAACGAGAGGGTAAAATGGCACATGAAGCTGCTCGCTGAAATGGATTTGGCAGTCTTCAAATTTGGCATTTGTTGCTGTCTTCCAAACCAATTTTGCCTTTGTTACAGATTGCTAAACACGGCGTAATCCAACAGTCATTATGTACTCAGCGAAGATGGGTTTTGGTGCAAGATTACACAAGTTGCACGATCTTTATCTATAATAACCGTAATAGAAAACACAGCAATTGTATGTGACTGCGGGGTGAGTAAACATGGATGTCTGGAAACTACACTGTAATGCAGACATGAATATAAATATAAATCTGCAGCATTGGGAGCTGGCTCATATTTGCTCATTCATTAGCACACTGACGCAGCAGATACTGAGGCTGCTGGCTGCTTTTCACTTTTCCCCTCACTCTTTTTCACTGCTGCTTCAAATCCCCTTCACTTACTTTGGAGATTTCTCTCTTTCTGTGTGTGTGTGTGTGTGTGTGTGTGTGTGTGTGTGTGTGTTTGGAGGCATATCAAAGCCCAGGAGCAGGGGAGGCAGGCACAGAGAGGCAGTGACGGTTACGCAACGCTGGATATTTATAAACCTTCCTCCCTCGCTCCTTTTCTCCCCTTCCTTCCTTCCTTCCTTTTTTTCCCAGTCCATGTCTCCTCACCCCCTCGTCCTCCCCCTCTCTCTTGCTCCCGATAACACGCAGAGCCAGCCTGATGTCCAAACATTACCAGCGCCAACCTCTCTGCCCACTGACTATGACAATGCCGCCGTTTTTCTCCTCATTGGGCACCTCGACAACTGTGACAGGTGGTTGTTACTCCAGAGGGGCTACTGCAAACAGTTAGCATTAACACACAGTGCCACAGCTGCACTGCAAATAGTCTCTCTGTCACAAATTGTGGCCAGAAATTACATCCTGCCTGGCTATTTAGATGAGGGCTGCATTGTCAACATTGTATTGTAGCAGAGAGGACAAAAAAAGTGTGCATGTGTGTTTGGTGAGACGAGGCAGTGAGACTTGACTGTTGAGAGCATATGTGTGTGTGTGTGTGTGTGTGTGTGTGTGTGTGTGTGTGTGTGTGTGTGTGATTCATGCATATTTATGCTCAAGGTTGATTTCTCCATTACTTCTTACATATAGTTTAGATTGTTCACACAAACTGTTGTTTTTTTTAATTAAATTATATTATTAATTATATTAGCTTGTTTTCATGTTCCCACTTTGCGTATTTGTGAGCCCAGTTGTGTCCTACTCATTAAAAAAAGCGCAAAACCTTCGCTTACATCTCACAAACAAATCTCAAATCCCCATCTTTACCTCTCAGCACGCCTTCAAAACTTAATGTATGCTTTTTTCATGATCAAAAAACCTCTGAATTGCATCTTAAAGCATTGCAAGACACGTTTGGCCCAGAGGTAATTTCTTCTTGAGTGACAGAATTTAATTTCACTTTTTACATGCACTCAAATATCAACACACCCAGTGTTGCATTATAGTAGAAAACAAATGACACCACACCAGTAGGACAAATGAGGGGTTTTTTGCATAACCTACAGGATGATGAATATTTATATTCAACTCCTCCAAAGCAACTATTCTCCCGGCACAATGTGTCTGAATATTAATATATTTGTCATACATGGTCAGTCTCTGGTTCTCGCATGATCTATTCACTAGTGGTCGCCTTTTCAAGCTAATTTTTCTTGCACGGTAGAAATGCAGTCTACAAAAACACTACTCAAACTCAGTCATTTTGTAAACAGTGGGTCCTTGGTTTAAGAGGTAGACAAAATCAAGTTTTTTTTTGTCAGCTGAAATTACAAATGTCACTAGCAGATTTTATTAGCTCTAGCTGACATTTGCTTTATGAGTTGGTTAAAAATATTTCCAGCTGACTCTTTTTAAAACCAGAACCCTGTAAAGGGGTTTAAATATGCACTTGTTGGCTACATGACATTATGGTAAAAGACTATGGCTAACACTTCATGTATGAGGCAAAAAGTTAGCATCCTCAGATAATTATCCTACAATATCCTTCAGTTTTAATGTCACAAGATAAAATGCTTTGAAGATGAGACTAACTGACGTGTTTGGCAAATGTAATGTTGACTAGCGGGAGTTTGGTTGGGGTTTCTGGAGTGTAATCTGAATCATATAGCAGATCCCCGTAAGAAGAAGGTGATGCGGTAGAATGACGCGATCAATAATCATTCTCGATTTGAGACAACAATACGCTTGCGAAATTAGCACACTACGCAAGTAAGTACGTTAAATGAATACAAGAAAACCATACCCAAATTCAGTTTTTGGAATTTTGTACAACTAGTAGCTAATGCATTTATTTTACGGTGAGAACAATGCAAGATAAACCCCGACTCTCACAGCAGCTGCTTTTTATAATTACCTGAAGGCCTCAATAAGACGTTCCACCTTCTGGGCTTCTCCCTGGACGCGAATGTGGGCCTGAAACTTCCTCAGTGCTTCGTCCAGCTCCATACCTGAGAAGTCCATCTCATCCACTACACAACTGTTAAGCACAGTGGGGAAGGGATGACACATGGAAAGGAAGACATGGGGGAAAAAGAAAATATATTACATTTCTAGCAAACTTTCTAACAATATATCAACATGATGCAAGTGGCTGCCTCTTCACTGATGGCATGGCTGGATTTGTGGATGGACAACTAAGATAAAAGAAGTCCACTCGTGTGCTTCCCGGTCACTCTGCAGGTATTAGACACGCACGGACACCAGGGATAAGGACTGGGCCCGGCTATTTTCTCCGCGCCACAGTTGCCAAGAGACACACAGACACGCTCACGTACTCGCATACAGTCCCTCCGAGCAGAAAATCCTCCTATTACCTGACAACCCCAGCTTAATGACTTTAATTAAAAAGGCAAAATATCCTGTCCAATGAGTTCAGGCGGTATAAGTACAACTTGGGCGAGTCGGAGGTGAAATGAGGTTCTTAAGTAAAAGGTGACTTTGAAAACAAGTTGGAAGGTTTTAAAGTTTTCCTCGCTTTGATGTGACATGTTCCATCGAGGTACAAAGTGAAATGATAATCGAAGTATGAAATTAAAGTCATTTTTTTGAACAATCGGATCTGCTTTCATGTGGTTTACTCCCAACCTATGCGCTCCAGCTCGAGATAACCTTAATTTTTGATGCCCTATTGATGGTTATGACGCACGTTCAAACGAAAGATGATGTTGTTGAGCTCAAAATCCTTAAAAACATACAAGTTAGTGGTGGTGTCAAGACACAGCCTTCTGCTTCAGATCTTTTCTATTTGTTGTACTCTAAGAAAACACTGGGGTTCTTGCACGTACACACACACACACACACACACACACTACATGAAGATGGATTACTGTGAACAAAGCGAGTTAATGAGGTGAGTACTTGACTGTGACACATGCTGCTCTGGCAGAAAAGAGTCAGATAGCTGAGTCTACAGTACTGCCTGATGCTGTGGTAGTACAACACGAGATCAGGGCAAAACATGGTTAACCGTAAGAAAACCACAAACTGTATACAAACACATATACTACTACTACTTCTATGGCCGCCACTAGTTCCACTACTACTACAGTCACTATTCCAGCTACTACCACTGCTGTGACTTTTACTGCAACAACTAGCCATGCGTATTACTCTGGTCACTACTACTACTACTACTACTTTACTGCTACACATTCATTGTTTTACTACTAGTACTGTAACTACATCAACTACCACTGCTACTAGTGATATGCGTATTACTCCTACTCCTACTACGTTGCAGCTACTACTACTACTACTGTTACTTCTTTCTAGTACTACTACTCGACCATGTCTACAACTACGTTTACCAATACTACCAAAGATACTACTACTACAGTTTTAACTACTTGTCCTATGTGTATGACTTATACTACTAATCGCTATTACTTTAACTGTTCCCTCTGCTCCCCCTGTTGAGTAAAACCTACTCACAGTATATTAAAACTATTATTACAAACACTGCAAAGCCCTCTGCTTTATTTAGTCTCCTAATATTACTACAGCTATCTACTACTACAGCTACAACTAGCATTTGTCCAGTGTCTACTATTATTAGTAGTATTTTAGTCAGTATTAACTTTACTACTTGTGCTGTGTTACTATTACACATACTAGTAGTATAAAACTATTCCGACTTGATTGATGTTTGTACAGTAGCTACTTATGTGGTTGTCAGTACTCCTGTCACGTCTTCTGTAAATTGATTGCTTCTACTATGTATTTTACTTTGAACGTCACAGTCGTCACTATTACTGCTATTAGTATGATAGTGGATGCTGCTATTTCTAATGTACAAATACAGACATCCATCGATTATCTTTACCCACTCATCCTGTGGGGTTTTGGGCGACCAACATCCATTAATACAGCTAATGCGATTAATAATCATCCCATGACTGGCAGGAGAGTTCAGCCGTGTATTATTTCCTACCAGTGATTACATTTAAAGACCATTTTCACACAGTGCTTATGAAGGTAAAGCTTACAGTGACTCTGACTCGATCCCCCTCTTGATCAGGCCTCTTGACTGGCAAGCCACTCTTATCGCCCTCTTCATGACTCACTTCCTCGCTCCACCACCGTCCCTCCCTCCTTTCCCCGGCTGTCACTCCTTGTTTATGTAACGTCAGACGAGATGCTCTCTAGCCTGAGTACATCAGCCTTCTCCTCCCCCTCCCGTCTCCTTCCCATACACAGTCAAACGCAGTAACGCACACGCACGGGCGAACACACATGCATATACACTTTGTTGATCAGTATACAGTACCTGGCAGGGAAACAGACACATCTGTCTGCACAGCAAGCCTAAAATGTATGTTCACACACACACACACACACACACACACACACACACACACACACACACACACACACACACACACACACACACACACACAATTCAAATAAAAAGAAACAGCAGGCCAGATGGAACCATATTTTGAGCAACCAATGAGTAGATGACAGGATGAAAACAGATCTCATTTTTCCTGCTTAACAAGTACACTACATTATCAGCAAATGAGTCCTCGGGGTGCCACATTTCTTGGAACCTAAATCTATAACCACAATTTGGCTTAATTGACTTGAGACGTTTTAACTATGGTTGTTTATGCTTACAGAAATGTGAAGAGAATGAAGAGAATTAGCTTTATATGGAGAGGATGTAGATTCAGGACATACACAAATATAGACACGCATGCATTCAAACCCTCCCAATACACACACAGAAGTCACATGATTTCACACACACATACACACACACACACACACACACAAATTCAAGCTCAGTAAATCACCATGAGTGATTTTCACATTAGACTGCAATCCCTCACCCACTCTCCTGTGACTACACTTTATCGAAAGTGCTCTCACACACACTTTGCACTCTCATATCATGTTCTTCTTCAACATCACTTCCACTCAGAGTGCGACTGTATGACTGCTCTGTGGGAGAATATACATCTATATGACCCAATGTCACCTGCACTGACTATATCTGCACTGCAAATTGGAGTTGGAAGTCTTAAAAGCATAATCCTGTTAAAACAGTGCGTTTGAAACCATGCTAGCATCCATTAGAAAATATATGGATATTAAATGAGGAGCGACCTGGGGGGGGGAGAGAGACTTGGCAGAGTGCTGTGTCGTGACCTTGCAAAGACTAAAAGTGTGTTCTTGGACAAAAGGGAAGATCTGCAGTACCTCCTCCAGTCAATATGCACATTTAGAGGTAACTGGTGAATGAGAGGAATGTAATAGAATAGAAAAGACAATTACTGAGATAAAGTAAGGGAGATATTGAAAGATGGAAAAGAGAAAGGAAAAAAAAAACCTCTGCAGTTTTGAAGGAAATAATGTCAATTAGATTAAGGACCTGGAATTAAAGGGTGATGTGACTCATGTGTGCACGTCTACAGTGTCTTCACATAAGAAGGAGGCATCTGTCTTATATACTCATTCAGGGCATTTATGTCCTTTTATTTTTATTCTGTTGTAAAGAACAGATTGTACAAAAAATGTGAAGAAAAAAAAACTGATCCATGATTTTGTCTTCGCATAACTCATTTTTATTTAGATTTTTTTTCTAGAGTTATTTCCAGAAAATGTGTCTTTAATTTTAAGTCTGAGAAAATAAACTAATTAGGGTTAAATCTCAAAAATAATCTTTTCATTATCAGCTGAATTTATTTTATTTTTGTTTTATCAGTTGGTAATCCAACTTCTATAATCTGTTTTCCAAGTCAACCTAGATTTACAAGTTGCAGTCGGATAAGGGCTTATTTGTCAGATCATGACATTTCAGTTTCTGCTAGTTTGTTTACTCTGATGAAAACTATAATGAAATGCCAGTGTCTGCAAAAACAACCGCTTTGATATAAGTGGATGTTGAAGTTATACTTTAGGCTTCACGTTTAGATTAGATTAAGGGAATCATCTAACCCCAGGATAGAGTTGAAAAATGTATAAACCACTATATTGTGACTACTAAAGCTATGGACTTTCCTTGTGCCAAATCCCCTATCACATCCAGTCCTGTAGTTGACCCTGACCCCTGATCTCCCAGAACATGTAGGGATTACCAAGGAGAATCACTTTATGAGGAGTAAATGATCCTAAAACGGTTTCATGAAGTAATGTGTTTCTACTCACTCTAGGACATCTCTGTTGAAGGGCTTCTTGCTGTTGCCGAGAAACTCTCCTATCATCTGTCGGCTCAGGCCCTTCCTCTGTAGCAGGAAGTGGGCCACGCCAATGGGTGTGTCTGGGATGAAGCCTCGAGAGATCAGGAACTGAAGGCCTTTGTCAGGATTTCTGAGACAAACAAAAGAGAAGAAAGGAAGAGATTTGGTTAGTTAGTGAAAGGAAATCTTGTCAGTTTTCTGAAACTGCCGAGATGCTATTCCATGTGCTAAATATTGGCGGTAGCTGTGTGACTGTGACAGATGATTTTCACTTTAACATAGTTAACCGCACTTAGCATTATTAATAAGTCCAATTGTTTGGGTTTACAGTATCAAGGGGCAGGTGTAAATGTGGCACACATGCAGACCACAAACTAGAGCTACTTGTTTATTATTTATTTATTATAATGATTGCTGAGAGACCATTAAAAAAAAAAAAAAATGAATAAAAACAAAAGATTGCTCTGCAGTACGGAGGTTCTTGGTCTGAAAATATGAGTTGGGTTCTGACTGTGCACACCCACTGTGCACGACAAAATCTAATTTGTATTCCTTCCCGTACTGACTTCCAACATTCATTAACAACTACTAAACAGCCCAACGCTCTAAATTCAGAGGATACTGCCAGAATCATAATGTCTGATCTGGGATGCAGCTTTATATCCCTGCTTCTATGCACAGACTGTGAGGAATTCTCCAGTAGACTTTGTTAAAGTGGGACAGGTGTTGGATTAGTTAAGTTTGTGACTTGTGGATTTTTCACAAATTTACGCCAGGTCTCTCCCAAGTTGATTTTAACAGCGTACCAAAATTAAAAATTTGTATAAACCAACTGCTACCTGTCAGATTGTTTGTGATATGGTTTTGAAAACAGTTAAAAGTTAGCTGAAGTAGGCAGTCTGAAGTCAAAGTGAGGCAATGTTAACTTTGATGGAAGAAGAAATAACACAATTACAACTCTTACAAACAAAGTTTTATTCATAAGCAATAAAACACACTGTTGGGGTTTTGCTGATTCAGCCTAACTTCTTTTGGTTCGACGAGAAGCTTGTGATGGCTAATGCTGGCAAATGGATATTCTGGCATTCAGCAATGGCCACATTAGCTGTTGCTCAACAAAAGGCTCGCTTTAAAGCAAGACTAGGTCACTTTTAAAGGGAGAAATATTACATTATATCTCTTACAAACCATAAGTTAAATTAATGAGCAATAAAACCACACTTCCCCAATTAAATGTACTCAGGAATGTTGCTGTCAGAGCTACTTGTTCGGGTATGACCAATAAGGGCTGGGGACTGCCCATTGTCCCAACGGCCCATTATTTGGAACAACAGGCCTTTGGAGAAATGGATGATGTATTTCTATGCTTACAATCGAACCCTCCAGTGACTGATTGACTTCAGGCCTGGTGCCACAATGTTGATGTAGCGGAAAATTCGATATGGAGCCTGCATGCGGTATTTTATTTTGAAAATTGACTCTATGCCGTTTCACTACTGGCACAGTTCCATAGAAGTTTAACTGACATTGTTACATCCACCATTTTGTCATATCTGTGACCAAGCAAATATTTCCAAGCATTTGTATCTACTCCTCAAATGCAATTGTTGGAGTATAATCTGTAACTACTCTTTTTAATATAGTCATTTTGTTGTTTGATGGGGCTAAATGTTAATTACTTTTGGGCCAGCTTAACTGTCTAATTGTCTGATTTGTAATCACTATCCTTGTTCAGTACTGTTTCCACAGTTTCACAATTGCTCCAGTGTTTAGCTGCATACACATAGTGAGGGTAGAAGAGGCCATTAATTCAGCAAGCTAAAATATGCATGGCAGGGTTCTTTAGATAGACATAAGGTTACTTGAGATGTTTATGTATGAGTAGCCTAAGTGAACATCTATTTGTCTGGATAATGAGGTGTACTTCCATGCTCATGCCTTCAGAAAACTGTCTAAACATCTCATTGGTTTTCATGAATTATTGTTTTTGAAAATCATCTCCTTTCCTATGATCTTATCAGACGTCATGCAGATTATTTCAGCTGCATGGCAGAAGTTACTTATGTATGAACAAGGGAGTAATATCGTAACTAGAAAATTCCTAAAGCAATTTTGATTGTGCCTTGCTCTGGCCCGTGACACTGGCCCATACATTACTGACACTGCCGAGTAGTTTACAGTACAATGAGGGGAGACACCTGTGTTTAATTCGGCGTCCGCGTGATCCACTAACAACCACGTATTTTAATGACAAATCTTGTTTTTTCCATCTATTGCCACGATCTTCTCCCACTGAAATAGTGAGGCCGGTAACGAGTTGATGCGACAAAGTCGGCCAAAAAGTTGGTATTTATGTATTATATTGATGCCGAATTAACAAGAAGACTGTTGAGATATGATGAGTTTTTTCTTGTGTTTCTACAGTTATGTGCTTTTATGTAAGCGCAAATAATTGTTAACATATGGTATTTCTTAAATGGAGTTTGGCATAATATTGTCCTGGGATAATGCAGGAAGGGTCATGGTTTAATTAAAATTGCTAAAGTAACTAAATAAGTAATAACCACAATGGTGGGAATAATAAGTATGTAGTTATAATAATAATAATGATAATAATAGTAATAATAATAATAACAATAATAAGTAATGCTATCAATAACATGAATAACAATATTTATATTAATAAATAATACATAATTAAGAAAGAAAACTATTCTTACTGTGCAGTCATAGGCAGTTACAACAGTCTGAGTGTCTTCTTCCTCACAAAATAAATCTAACTTGATGTTTTATTACATTACTAAATCTGTATTACTTGTGTCATGTGTAACAAGTTGAAATAGATGGCTAATTAAGAATTTCAGTGTCTTTTGTGACATTTAATTAGCACAGTAATCCTTTGTCCTCTCTAGCTAGCGAGTGCTAGCACATTCATACCTTGTTCTGTCTAGCTAGCTTGTGCTAGAACATTAGTAGCTTATCCTCTCTAGCAAGCAAGGCATTTAAATTAATTAGCTAGCCTTCTAATACCTTCTTCTACCTACTAATTCTCTTTAGCTAGCTAGCTAGAGCTAGCACACATAAACACATTAACCAGAGCTGGCGCTAAACTACGTGCTAATCGCTAGCTAACCGCTAATCGCTAGCTATGTGCTAATCGCTAGCGAAGCGCTAATCGCTAGCGAGCGCTAATCGCTAGCTAAGTGCTAGCTTTGGTTAATTTGTTTAATTGTATTATGCTCCTGAAGGAAAGCTAATGTAAATTAAGGAACAGCTCATAGTAGGGTAAAATATTTAAGGTGTATTGAACTTATTTTGTGTTAATATTAAAATCATTCAGCTTTAAATTGTTTGCTTGTTAGCCACCTGCTAATTATCTTTAGCTAGACAGCTAGCGCTAGATTATTAATGCCATTAATCCTCCCTATAGCATATTAATATCATGTCATTCTCTTTAGCTAGCTAGCTAGAGCTAGCACACATAAACACATAAACCAAAGCTAGCGCTTAGCTACGTGCTAATCGCTAGCTACGTGCTAATTGCTAGCTAACCGCTAATCGCTAGCTTCATGCTAATCGCTAGCTAAGCGCTAATCGCTAGCTAACTGCTAAGTGCTAATCGCTAATCAATAGCTAAGTGCTAGCTTTGGTTAATGTGTTTAATTGTATTATGCTCCTGAAGGAGTGCTAATGTAAATTAAGGAACAGCTCATAGTAGGGTAAAATATTTAAGGTGTATTGAACTTATTTTGTGTTAATATTAAAATCATTCAGCTTTAAATTGTTTGTTTGTTAGCCACCTTCTAATTATCTTTAGCTAGCCAGCTAGCTAGCGCTAGCTTATTAATGCCTTGTCATTCTCTGTAGCTAGCTGTGTGTGTGTGTGTGTGTGAGCAGGCTTTGGTTGTCATGGCAATCAGGGGAGCCCACAGCAGCTGCGCACACTCTCTCTCTGTCTCTAACTCCTCAGAGAGACAGAAACATTTAAAATGAATCCCCTCAAAAGCATGTCCAGGAACGACCGAAATGAAAACCGAAAAGACCGTGGGCGTTGTCATCTTGTTGACTATAGCACTGCCAAGTTTCAGTGGTTAAAGTTAAAAAATGTGACCTGGGGAGATTGAGAGAGAAGAGGTTCAACGAGCGTGTTTCATGATTGCTCCTCTAAAATTAACATGGGAGTAGATGGGGCCGTGAGAGGGAGTTGCTGGCGCATCAGTGCGTCTACCGCCAAAACTATTTGTCTGACAGCTTCAGCAGTAGTATCACTGCGACCCCAACGGATTTACCTACATTTCTATCTATAAATTATTTCTGTAGAGTGAAATTTGTGGCCATGACAGCAGTTTACAAATTTATTTTTCAACAAATTTTTCCCTTCTCCCCACACTCTAGCGATGATGTCACGCACTCTGGCAGTTTTTTTCAGTTGGAGGTTCTCGCAATACACACCCATTCATTTTTTTGACCGGTTTTTGGCGATTTATCGGCAAACCGTTTGGCGAAATTCTTAGAAAAGTCATAGCACTCGATTCCCGGCCGAGCCGCACGTTTTGATACCTTTTTTGTGTATGTGCGACAAAAGCTGCGGGAGAAGAAGCGCGCCGAAAAACGTACGGAAGAAGAATAATAACTAGAAAATTCCTAAAGCAATTTTGATTGTGCCTTGCTCTGGCCCATATGTTAATACCATGTCTACGTGCTAACCGCTAATCGCTAGCTCTGCGCTAATCGCTAGCTAAGTGCTAACCGCTAATCGCTAGCTAAGTGCTAGCTTTGGTTAATGTGTTTAATTGTATTATGCTCCTGAAGGAGTGCTGATGTAAATTAAGGAACAGCTCATAGTAGGGTAAAATGTTTAAGGTGTATTGTTCTTATTTTGTGTTAATATTAAAATCATTCAGCTTTAAATTGTTTGTTTGTTAGCCCCCTTCTAATTATCTTTAGCTAGCCAGCTAGCGCTAGATTATTAATGCCATGTAATCCTCCCTATAGCATATTGATAACCTGTCATCCTCCTTAGCTAGCGCTAGCATATTAATATCATGTCATTCTCTTTAGCTAGCTAGCTAGAGCTAGCACACATAAACACATAAACCAAAGCTAGCGCTTAGCTACGTGCTAATCGCT